GTGGCTAGAAGAAAACGCAACTGTGCCGCAGGCGAGTTCATGACCGTAAATCTCACCTGAGCTTCTGATACTGATCATCGATCGGTCTGACTTTCTAGTGACTATTTCATACTTGTATCTCTTCAAACCTCTGACAGCCTCATATATCACTGAGGAACTAGCGATCAGACTAGAGATTGCTCATTATCCTCCCACCATCAATTCCACCTCACGGACTAGGCTTTACTCCCTTCTCTGCCTTCCGCCTTTTAAAACGATGAGCTGTCCATGCTTCTGTCTGAAGCCAGCCCCTCGATGGTGCAGTGGATTCCATCTGTGCCCATCCTGCCTTTTCAATCATTTTCCTTCTGCAATTATCCCCTCTCCTGTCTTCGTCAACTTCTCTTTCTGCCATCGCCATATATACATTTCCTAATGTAGCGCATCTTCAAAAATAACGTCCCTCCTGGCCTCCTAAAACCAGTAACTTTACAGTGGAGTAAACCTGACAAACACCTCAGCCAGGTGATCAAGGCGATGAGTCGTGATGGCGGAATGTACCCTTGCTGTGATATGAGGAGGTGATAAGGGCACTGTACCTCTGTGGTCTTCCTTTCCAAAACCCACAACCTCTGTCCAACCAGAAAAACACCAGACAAATCCAAATGGAAGGATGTTCTACAAGATACTTAACTAGCACACCTCAAAATTGTCAAGGCCATCAAAAGCAGGGAAAACCTAAGAGAAACCTAAGGAGACGTGACAAGTAAATGTAATGTGGTATTCTGAATAGGACCCTAGAACAGAAAAAGAAAGATACTAAGTAAAACTAAAAACCAGAATAAAGTACAGGCTTTAGGTCATAAGGTACCAATACTGGTTCATTAATTGTGACATATGCGCCATAGTAATGTTAACAATAGGGAAGGCCAGGCACGGTGACTCACGCCTATATTCCTACCACTTGGGGAGGCCGAGGCAGGAGGATCACTTGAGCCCAGGAGTTCAAGACCAGCCTGGGCAACATAGGGAAACCCTGTCTCTATTCTAAAATTAAAATAAAATAAAATAACAGAGGACACTGAGTGCAGGGAACTCTTACAATAGTCTCACAGGCTTTCTGTAAACCTAAAACTATTCTAAGATAAAAGTTGATTAAATATGAAACCACACACACTCACAGACACTCTCACACACTCCCCTGACCCATGTCATCTTCTTGCTTCACTCCATTTCCCTGCTTTCCTGCACAGGGAACCTTCCCAAAGGAGTTGTATATTGCTACGGTCTCTATCTCCCCACTCCAGCCAGCTCATTCCTCAGTCCACTCCAATCTGCTGTCCTTAGCTTTCCACCAAAACTGCTCTTGTTAAGGTTGATGGTGAGCTCCATGTTGGCAAATCTGAGTCCATTTTTTCCCCTTCCCTTACCTTTCAGTCTAGTGTGTGTGTAACCCAGTTCACTATGCCCTCCTTCCCACAGCACCCTTGTCACTTGGCTTTTGGGATACTATACCCCTGGATTTCTTCCTGCTCCTTGGCTGCTCCCGCTCCGTCTGGCTTCTACCAGTGGCCTACGTTCTGTCTCCGGACCTCTGTTCTTCTTTGACTGCACTCTTATCTCATAGGCATATTTCATCCCATCTCATGGAGTTCAGTACAATTAACCTACTGCACATTCCCAAATTTGTATCTCCAGCCTTAAACCCTATGAGGTAGAGACTGCTGTCACCACCATTCTACGAAACAGCAGACTTAGGCTATCAGATGTTTAAGGGACTTCCTTGAGGTTACACAGCAGGAAGCAGCAGGGCTGGGATTTGAACCTAGGTCTGTCTGACTCTAGGCCTGTGTTGTGAGTTGCCGGGCTGCCCGGGCACCCCCTCCTTTCCCAGCCCCCGTCCTACCTGCTCCCCAGGGCCTCTTGCATGTCCTGCTCATTCTGGCCTCAGGCCTTTGTCTCCCTGGTCCATTTCTCCTGGAATGACCTCTTTTCCCCCTGCCTGTCTAATCCTCTTCCATCCCAGCTTTGGTGGGAGTTTCTCCACTCTTAAGACCCAGGCCGATCTCTGCTGGCCTCCTCTGGACACTTGCAGGTGCTGGAGTCTACCCTAAAACACCCAAGGGTTCATTTGCATCAATAGTTATGCTTTCTGAACCCACGACGGGGCCCTTGGCCCAAGTACAGCTGCACCCACGGGGATGTGGAAGCACGTGATCTAACGCTGGGACTGGCTGGGAAAACTGGGCCATGGGCCTCCATCATCACACACCATCTCAGACAGGGTCTCAGTCATCCAGGCGGGCTTTGTTTGGTTTTACCTACTAACTGGGAAGCTTCTAGAAAGAAGGATCATGAGTGCTGAATAAGTATCATTTTTAAACACCGTGTATATTAGGTGGGCCTGGGGAAGTACTTCAAAATCCTTTTCTCCTGGGTCTTGGGGGGCCAAGGAAAGTTCAGTCCAGTAGTGAAAGAATTAATTTAGACTTCATGGAGGTCACAGAGAGGCCGAGCAGTTCCCACAGGGGTCGCTGAGCTCAAAGGAATGTTTGGAAGAAACGGGGGTGACAGGATCGTTTTTGGAAGAACTGAGAGTGCTGGAGGGAAGTGAGGAGCAGGAGACTGGAAGGAAGAAGTGGGAAGGGCCATGTGGGAGGCCCAGTGCTGGCTGAGACAGTGAGCAGTGACCTCTGGGGCAGAGAACATTGCCCTTTCACTTACGTGAGTTCAGCCCCAATTCCCATGATGCTGGCCGGGGCTCTGGTCCCCGCCCTGCCACTAACTCCCTGTGTGACTGCAGGCAAGTTGCTTTGTTTCCCTGGGCCTCAGTTTCCTCATCTCTAAAATGAGGAGGTTGAAAAAAAGAAGTGATGGGGTTGGGTGACATTGTTTCTCAGCTCCTCTCAGTATCCCGAGTGCACCTGAGATAACACATCCTGTGCTGTCTACCCTGGGCCACTGCCTCGGGGAAGGAAGAGCCAGGTTAACCTGACCGTTCTTCTACAGGCTTCCTGGTAAAAGTTCTTTTTCACAAAACAGCAGAGAGTCTTTTGTGCGGGATCTAGGAGGGGAAGGATGTTAAGTGGTTGAATCTTGCATATTGTAAAAGAAATGAATCTGCATTTCCTTGATCTCCAGAAAAAACACAGTTCATTCACTCTCCATCCCCAACTGAAAATGGGCATCCATGCCCATGCTGCAGAGTGGGATCAGTTTTGCCCTGCATGTTCAGAAGGGGCAGGGTTGGCCCTTCTCTCCCAGGTAGGGCCTTCTGATGTTCCAGCCTTGGGTCAGAGTCCCTCTCCCAGAGAGATTTCTCATCCATAAGCCTGCCAACCAAGACAAGTGCTGAGATGCTGTCGCAGCCCACCAGGGTTTGCTTGCCTGGAGGGGAACATATCTAGCGTCAATAGGACCCCCAGTGGCTGAACGATTGCTAATTCTGTGCAGGCCCCTGCCTTGGTCTTTGCACATCTGGCCACACAGGCATGTACCTACTCCTGAGTCACCTACGTTTTGAAAATATAAAATCAGGAGCATTTAAGTCAGTCTTCACTGGATTGCTTGAGGCAAAACGTGAAGCAGTGATGGCTTGTGTGGGTCTTGTGTCTTGTGGTTGGAGGCTGAGCTCCTCTGACCCATCAGGAACAATGGCTTCGTTGTGCTCCTCTCTGGCTTGCTTGCTGGACTTGGAAGCAAGAGGAGCTTTGAGCTGCCCAGCACCCCCAGGGGCAGGAGGGTATAATCATGGCCCAAGGACAGCACTGTGGACCCCATGGGACCCTGCAGTTGTTAGGGGGCTGGGATAGCACCTTTCCAGGCCTGAATACTGAATTTGCCAGTGCTCAGAGGCAACTCTGCTCCTGAAGGATGGGCTGAGATGTGTCATTCACAGAAAACCTTCAGAAAAGAACAGATGTTTTCAGGAAGTCCCAGATGGCAGGCAAAGGCGGGTAGGAACCTGGCAGAGCCTAGAAACTCCAATCTGAAGGTCCAGGCCCCAAGTTTTGGAAGAGAAGAGTAAGCAAAAGAACCAGAAGGAGGTCTAAAGGCTAAAGTAATAAAGACATGAGTTTTCTGTTTAGAAATGAGAACAGGGTCCTGTCATAAAACCAGCCTCCCAGCCATCAGTCTGAGGTGTGAGAGGAGAGACGCACTGGCCAGGAGGGGGTTTAAGTTTTTTTCTCCCATCAACAAGCTGTGATTTGCTAAGTCATCTAACAAGTTCCTCAGTTTCAGCTGTAGAATGGGCGCTCATGGCATTGCTTAGACCTAGGATCCAGTGAGCTAACAAGCTAACATATGAGACTACACTATGTGGACCAAATGCGTAGGCAAAGTACATGCTGTTAGAGTGGCTGGTTCTAGGGTGGACAGTGAGAGTGCAGGCTGCTGCACAGTCTCTCCCCTTGCCCCCATCGCTCCACGGAGACAACGGCCTGCTCACAAGCAGGGCATGATTTGGAAAAGTGAAATCTGAATTGGGGAACACATCATGCTCATGTCCAGTTCTGGGCTTTCACTGTGCTCTGTCTCTGGCTGAGGGGATCTCTGCTCTTCCCAACCACGGTCTACCTGGGAAGACCCTACTCAAGCCCAGCCACCTCCAAATTGAAGTACTAATGCCCAGGCTGCCCCTTTCCCTTCGGGACCTCTATCCCAAAGTGCGGTATGTGAATATACAGAGCAGCGTGGCTCTCAGACGACTTCATGTAATTTTCTGAAAGCAGGGACCGTGACTTCTTTCCTTTGGTTCCCCATAGGATACAAAAAATGGCTCTGAGGCAGATAGAAAAATACTTGCAGAAATAAGGAAGACACAATATGAATTTTCAGACTTAGTCAACTGCCGAGTATTTAACAACAGTCTTTCCTTCACCAGTCTTATCAGCTCACTTCAGTAGTCTCATAAAGGTCTGTGCTAATGTTTAATTTCTATAAACTACTTAATAAATATTTCACTTTACATTGGCATAACCCATGATAAATCCACAGGAAATAAGAGCCACCAGCAGTGGTAGGATCAGAATACTTTAATAAGATACCAGTGTCAAAATACATTTCCTTATAAAGTTAAGCTCCCATACAGTTATAATGTTGTCAGTAGGAATTCGACAATATAATAATGTTCATGAAATCGTTACGTTGACAGGTAGGGTTAATATGAAGCTTGGAATATTTTTCAGTGTTTTAGTAAAACTGCAAGGGTAAAATGCCCTTAATGCCAGGGCAACACACACAGGAAATCAAATACCAGCATTTACATGTCAGTAACCCTTCAAGTTCTGCCACCCTGTGTGGGGTAACGCTGTGCAGCTAAAATATGATTTAGACAACACCATGACTAAGGAATTTCTCATATAACTTAAATTTCTTTTGAAAGCTACTTTTTGTTTCTGGCAATAAGTCCATCCGGGCTTACTAAATAGTTGGCCTAATGTGCTTTGTGTGGGTTTTTAGAAACTTCTTCGTTGTACCCATTACAGAAAAGTTCCATGTAATTGGTATTGAAAAACCAGAGGTGTCGTCCCTCTTACCCAGTGAGTTGCAATGTGCTCTGGGAACGCTATTTTCAGTGCTTCCTACCTATACCTGTCACTGCCCGACCCAGAGACCTCAGCCAGGGCCTGCAGCTCGGGGCCATCCCTGGAGGCCTTGCAGGGCCATCTGGCTGCCAGCTCAGGGGGGCTGCAAGGCTGGTCTGGACCAGCTGCTCTCCCGCTGTGCAGCCGCCTCCTCAGTCCAGCTCCACGGGGCTCCAAGGTCGTGAGCTTGGAGGACGTGGACCGGGTCACTATACCATTTCTGACCCCTCATTTGCATGAATTCCCATCTAAACCATCTCATGGTAGTTCTGGAAATGTCTAAATGTGCCGTGTGAAAGACCATCCGAGTCACATAGCTCAGTGCACTTGAAGGGCTAGCAACAAAACCTTAAGAAAAGTTAGAGCACTTCCCCGCCCCACCCCCCGACCCCACAACGTGCCATCAGACCCTCTTGGCAGCAATAATAATAATACATACATACATAGTACATAGAGAACATGAGGGGATAGCGCGCAGTGCTCCCACTGAATGACTCCACTGCTCGGATTGTCACACCTATGGCATATCACAGATGGCAAAAAGCCGACAGAGGGAGGCCTTCCACAGTGTCCGTACAGGCCGTGGGAGCACTGGACAAGTCTGCAGTGTCCACAACACCAAGAAAAATTAACAGCTTTGAAAAGATCTTAAAGTGATTTTGTGAGCAGGATTCCATTTCCGTTTCTAAGGTTTTAGATATTACGAAGTACCCATATATATGATAAACACTTAACCCAGATATAAATTTTCTCTTTTAAAAAAACTCAGTTATGTTTTTGAATAATAATAAAAAATCCACCGAATGCGGGGGAAAAACACCAGTTTAGGAAAAGCCACGCTGTGCAACCTTCACAGATAACCACATACGTTGGAGTTGACCCTTCACATTTCTTTTTTTCCAAAATCAGAGCAGAGTCAGCTTAAACCAAAAAAACCTGAAATTTACAATATGGTGATTAGTTTTAAAAAAGAAAGGAGAAGGGCTCTGCGAGGGAGAAGCCACAAGCTGGGAAAGCAACATCATTTTTGTTTCTCTTTGGCAACAACAGTAACGAGGAATCTTTTTAGTAAAATGAAGCTAACGCTCTCCCTACAGGAGAACAGACATGCACCAAACTTGTTAGTGTGGACAGTTGTGTGTGAGAAGAAGAGAAAGGGAGAGAAACCTATAGATAATATAAATTAGAAGTAATTGAAGGTGGGGAGGAAAAAAAATCTTACAAAATTTAAGAACATTTCAGAACAGGTAAAACAATTGTGTACTTTAAAAATAGGGATAATAAAGTGAGCATCTCAGAAAAAGGCCACTGCGTGGTGACCTGGGCAAGTCTGCCAGGTAAGTCCATCTTGTAAATAGTGTGCTGGTGTTAGAAATACCTAGTTACAAAAACAGATGGAGAGAGTGAAGCTGGTGGGACGGTGTCGGCAGAGGTGCTGCCCAGGTGGAAGGCCTGGCTCAGGTGGCCTGGTCCAGGGCTCTGAGGAGGTCCCCTCCTTGCAGGAGCGTGGAGCTTCCCAGCACGGGCACGTTCACCTCACAGTCATATCTGGTCAGTTCAGGCAGCAGGTAGGACTCAAACGAGGGCCCGAGCAGCCGGCTTGCCATGCCTGAAAGAAGGGTTGGTACCATAACTTAAAGGCCTAAATCAAACATCTGGAAAAGTGACTGGGCGATACCAATAGGGCAGCCCTAATTTCACTCTGCTCCTTCAGTGGTGTCTCCCCCATGGTCTGCTGCATGCCTGGGGAACGTGTCTGCCTTCAGACCCATTGCCTCAGGTGGGGTGCTGAAGAGCCAAGAAAGAGGACAGCGCGAGGTGCGGGCTGCAGCACAGGGAGGTGGAGGCTTCAGCAAGAGCCTGGGGTTGCTGACCCCATGCCTGCTGGCAGCAGGGAGGAAAGGCCGAGAGGGAGTTCTGAACCACCTGGCATCTATGCTCACATACACAGAGCATGCAGAACACACACACGCACACACAGCCTGCCTCAAGATTCAAGGGTCTGAAAATCCAGTTTCCAGTCACCACCCTCAGCAGTCCTTTCTTCTTGCCTCTGTGCTATTCTGCTGAGGAGGCAGACCAGTGAGTGGCAGAGGGGACATTCCCAGTACGCACACAGGCCCCATCCCAGGGAGGAAAGGCTTAGGTGGCAGCAGAGAGCCTGGAAGCCCTGCGTTCTGCCCCTCCGATGTGAGATGCCCACCTTCCTTCCCTTGCCCTATCTGCAGAGCCTCGTTCCTCGTTCTGCAGGAGGCCATTCCCTCCTGCACCTCCTAGCCCAGGTCCTTGCTGGGGTCCATGCCTGCCTCCCCAACTTGACTGCTCCTGTGGACAGTATCAATGGATACCTGCTCACCATCCCTTGCTAACTTCTCTTATTCGTGGTCAGAAGAGAGTTTAATATGATTCAATTCTTTTGAAAAGAATATGATTTCCCCTTGATTTCAATATTCAAGGTAACTTGTGGGCTTCATAACAGGAAGAATAGTGCTGGCTACCTCTTACTGCACATAAACGTATACTAGTCACTGAACTCAACAGCAGAGCCAGAATTTAAGCCAGGGCTGTCTGGCGGTTCTACAGCCTGGACTCTGTAGAGAACTTTCCCCAAACTCTACTGCTGAGGAAATTGCCTTTTAGGACAGGGGCCTGGTATGTTTTTCCGTAAACCACGAATTATTTTCATGCCAAACAGAAACCTCATGAAGACATCTATGTTTCACAAGATACTATCAAGACGAAGGTGGCCCAGGGTTGAAGGCAGGCATCGGTGCCTGCAGTTGAACCAATTCCAGTGGGGTGGGCCTACCAGAGCTTTCCAGGCTGCTCTCCCTGCAGCAAGTTTCGGCATGCTCTCAGCACCTGCCCGAACTCAGAGTGACACCCCAGTGTGCCCAAGGGACTTTAAAAAAACACATCCACATGAAGAACTGAGGAAGTGGGAAGGCTCTGGGATTCTCAGGGTGGAAAGAGCCCTGGATGGCACCTGATCATGGGAGGATTCCCTCTGAAGCCCCAGGGAAGGAGCACGCCCTTCTCCACGCAGCAAGCTCGTCCCTGCATAGACCAGAGATCCTCTGCCCAGACCCCTTCCCAACTCTCTGAACTTTCTCTTCAACACGCCCTCACCACTGTGGCTGCCCGCTCGCTCTTCTGAAAGTGCTCTTGTCAGTCAACAGTGGGACAGTGTTCTAGGGGTGGCCAACCCAGTGTTCAGCCCTCTGTGGGCAGCAAGTAGTGGTCTGCATTCTTCCTTCAGTATTCTAGCCTGAGTTTTTTAGTTGTGTCTCAGACCCACCCCCTGGGGGGCCTGGTCACGGATGTTACAAGGAACTTGTGAGGAGGTTCCCTAAATCCAAGGAGACCTGAGCCCTGGACATGTGACTTCAAGTCAAGCACTTCCCTGTGCCTGGCACTGTGCAGACGCTGGAAAAAAAAATAGAGGTGGGCTTCCCCCGGCATTGGATCCTGAGTACACCCACCTGACACCTTGTGGGCTGACGACAGGCTGTAGTCCTGGTACTGTGTGGCATAGCACTGTGCGGGGAACCTGCTCTTGCTGTTCTCCCCAGGACTGACGGCAGATGGAGGCTGTGGCAGCGGCAGATGTCTCAGGGGATGGCCCAGGCCCCTCACAGGATTTTGGGTGAACTTACCTGAAAGACCAAAGTCAGAGGGTGACGGTAGCACTGGCCTGAGGCAGGGGAGAGGCCAGGAAGCCCTAGCATCCCTTTCCTTTATGAAAGGTGCTCAGAGTCACCAGAACTACAGCCAGCCTTCAGGACCCTCTGATGGCATCATCTAAGTCAGAGTGGAAATGGAAAAGTTGGGTGTGTGGCACTGGGGGAGGGACAGAGGATATCACCCCATTCTAACAAGGCTCAGAGAGGCAGGTACGGTCTGTGGTGAGTGAATGGAAGAACCAGGATAGGCTCCTGAGCCCCAGTCCTTCCAGCAGAACCCCCAGGAGGCCTAGGCCTGTGGCCGCTGCTCACCATTGGGGACATTTGCGCTCAGTGGCTTGTCCGGCATCAAAGGGCAGCTCCCACCCCTGAGGTTCTTCATCCGTTTCCACATCAAATGTGAAGTGCTGCCACCAGGTGGGTCCCCCTGGGAGTAAGAAGGGCAGATGGAAAGGGGAAAGGGCCAGAAAACCAGGTCCCCAGACTGGGTGGGTTGGGTGGGCCTGGAACAGGGCTGTCACTGGCTTGAAAGGGCCACATCCCCACCCCTCTCAGCAGCCCTGGGTTCCCTAAGGTCTATGGACAGGCCCCTGTGGCCAGTCGGGATGGCTCACCCCACTCAGGTCCTGGAAGGCTTGCTCTTCATACTCCAGCTGTCGCTTCAGCTTCAGCTTGTTGGAGAGGGCTACCATGGCCGGGCTCAGCACGTCTGGGCCTCGAGCCCCAAAACCCTTTGCAGACCTGCAAGCCCGAGAGAGCAGGCTATGAGGGAGTCTGAAGCCTCATGCCACCCAGTGCCTTCTCATCTTAGGGGCCCTTCCAGGCCCAATGCTTATGCCTGTGATGACTCAAAGACCCAAAAGACAGAGTCTCAGAGGCAGGCTGTGTACCCGCAGGCCAAGCCCGAGCTCTGCCTCCTTCCTCAGCTGTAAGATGCTGAAGGGCTCAAGCCTCCTGGTCTGGGGACGGTGGCCGCTTGGCTGGGTAGTGTTAGTCCTTAGGTGGTTTCTTCTGCTCCGTCTCTCCCCTGCCTTTTGCTCCCACTGAAAACTAGTTAGGCTGCTCTCTAAAGGTCAAGTACCACCGGCCCCTGGGAGTGGCAGGTCATGTACCAACCACTGTGGCTTAGCCCAGCGAGCTCTCAGCTGGTGAAATGAGCATGCTGGGGAGATGGGAAGGCACTTCTGGAGCCTGGGCACAGCTCGGAGAGGCTGCAGTGGTGGGGACCCAGGGGCAGTCAAAAGGTAAGAGGGAGGCATGGGCATCTTTTTGCTTTTTTCAACCAGGGAAAATCATCACTCAGTTTTCTGTGTTCTGTGGCTCAGATGATGAACCCAGATAAGAAAGGCATTCTGGTGGTAGTTCGAAGGGAGACACTGAGGTACAGGGCTCTCAACAAGCCACTTCTTTGCCTGCCCTCAGTCTCCTCCAGCCCAGATAAAAACCTGTCCTACGCTAGGCCTCACGTGGCTCAAGGTGATTTCCCAAAGTCTGAGCTCAGAGAAGGGCTAAATGGGGTATCAGATGGCTGTGGAGAGGGGCAGGGGCCTCCCTGGGGGTCCAGCTATCTCACTAGTGGGTGCTTCTCTGTTCCAGCCCTACTGGTGCAGCCGAGTGTCTGCCACTTACCTTGTCTTGAATGTGGAGACATGGGGCGGGGAGACAGGGGGCCCCAGTGGTGCCGCTCCCAAGAACTCTGTGCGCTGATCCCCGACGGCCCACTTTGTGGGCCCAAAATGTAATGGTGGATCTGGGGGCCACTGGGTGTTGGATCTGCCCCCCATGGAAGAGAGAGGGGTGCTGGCCTGGCCACAGCATGGTGGCAGGGATGCTTTGCTTCCAGCATCAAAGAAGATGGAGGACATGGGCCGGTGCTCGGGCTCTGTCTTCTTGCTCTCCAGCTGCTGCTGAAACTTGTCCAGGAGGAAGGGACTGTGCGGGGCTACAGGGGCCAGTGGCTGGAAGATGTTTGTCATGGCACTGAAGCAGTGCTGGGGGGTGGACTGTGGGTTCTCCGCCAAGAGCCGCTCCTCGGGGCAGATGGGGCTCAGCTGGAAGTCTTCCCCGTCCATGGGAATATAGGGTGCCAGTGTCTCCAAGTCCAGCTCATTGAAATCCGTCTGAGGGGAGACAGCACGGGCAAAGAGGCAAGGGGGTTGGTACGACCTCACAAACACTATTCCAACTCGGCTCCTGCAGAGCCATTCATCTCAAGTACCATTTCACAGTGCTGCTCAAACACCTCCACTGGCTCCCTAGGGCCTATCAGGAAAACCTCAGACTTGGCTGTGTCATGTACATGACCTTGTATCATATACCAGCCTTCTCCCGAGGTGACCCCCTCTTCACCCTGCACATTGAGAAATGTTCTCCTCTCTCCATCCCACCTGCCAGAGCCCGCCTTCTCTCTTGAAGCCGAGCCAGCCCTGTCTACTCCAGCCTGTGGTGGTTGTCCTTGTCCTACAATGCTTAGGCCTGTGGTGCACACTGTGGCTTTTTTGTCCTCTTCTCCCTCCTGTAAGCTGGCACGGGCCTAAGCAAGCAATGAGTGTCCAGGTCCATCTGTGGACTCTTGCAGAGGAATAGCCAGACCCCAGGGATAGAAGGACTTTGGTTCCAATCAGCAGATACTCAGATCATCCCTTAGCATGGCAGTATCATGACGGACGCTACAGGGAATATAAGCAGATGCGGAAAACAGTTTCTACCTTCAGAGACTGACACCCTCACTGGGTGTCAGCTGACTAATGACTGCAATACTAAGCAATCTTTAAGGAGCAGAAGCAGATAGTTGTGATTAAGTGCCACATGATACATACTACAGGAGTTCTGAGGAGGGAGGGTGATAGAAAAGCTAAAATAGGGAACGTTTTGCAGAGTAGCTGGGATTTGTGCCAAGTAGGATCAAGATACAAACTAAATGGTAAAGCAGAAATCTGGTTGAACTCAAGACTAAGATAAATGGGGGATTAATGGTTTTCCCTGGGGTTTTGTAAGACACGTACCCCTCCCTCTCTACCTTATCCTTGTTTACATAGTTTTTGCAAGAACACTGGCCTTATGTAATAAATGTGTTCCTGAAAAGTTTATGTAAATGAAAAATTGTCAAACAGATGTTATTTTAAAATGCATTTCATATAAAATGATTATTTTTTTAAATCACAAGATGAATGTGTTTGTAAAGGGATTGTCCCCTATGTTTATACATGTTTTTTGCATTTGGCTATGCTTGTTAAATGTAGGGCCTGTTTAAAGAAAGGTGCAGTGGTATTTCGGTTTTCATGTGCACTAAGAAAGTTATCTAAGGAGATAGATATGCTGGAAGAACTGGATTTGACAGTGGGAGGAGGGGGTGACCACCGGTTCCATTAGCCTGCACTCTCACCTTGTTCAGGCACACACCCTACCCTGATCTCCACAGCCACCTACCTGGGTACTGCATTGGTCCTTGGCCTCTGTGTCCATGGCGAAGAGCTTCTCAATCACTTCAATCTTCAGGTCGTTATCCAAAGATGTATAATAGTCTTCAGGGCTATTGGGCTAGGGGCCAGGAAGGAGGGGGACAGAGTCAAAGATATGGCACTGGTCTCCCCAGAACTCCAGCACGGAAGAAGAAATGCATTCCCGGACCCAAAGGTTCAATTCCATTCCACCACACAACTATTTGTAGAGGGGCCACTAATTAACAAGCTGTATGAATTAGGTCAATTCATCAACCTTTTTCAACTCCAGTCTCGTCCTCATAAAATGAGGCTACTATCGCTTCACAGGTTGTCCTTCTTGAGGAACAAACAGAATCCAGGCTGCGGCCAGCAGGGCTGTGCAAACTGCAGCTCTATGCCACATACAGGATGTTACTGCCCTGCACAGACCCTGAGCTGGGGGCTCAAAGCCCTTCAAGGAGCTTATTTCAGTGCGGTTGGGGGATGAACACTGAAAGGAAAGAAATAGCTCTGATACCTGGTAGGTAAGTGTCACGGCCACTCTAGGGGGCTCTGTGATAACTGGAGAAGGAGAAGGACAGTACCTGTCCCAAATGTCCCTTCAGCCATCTGGCAGCAGTCATACATAAGGAGCCCTCTCTGTGTGCTCGCCTTAAGAGGGCTGCTCACCGTGGAGCAGCTGCTGCTGCTGGTGGCACTGGGGGTGGTGCTGCCCGGGGCGGCTGCCTGGGGCACGGTGAAGGCAGGCAGGCTCCCAGCCTCGCTCTGGGTGCTGTGGCTCCTCAACTCTGTGGCCCACGGCTGGCTCGGGGGCAGGATGGCCTTGCCATAGGCTGAGGACTCCTCGAAGTTCTGATTCCCTGTGGAGACAAGGGCCTGGGAGGTGAACACCCACAACCATCGGGCTCACCCCAAGGCAGATGAGTCCCAAACACTGCAGAGAAGGCCCTACGAGGGTCTGGAAGGCATGCCTGGGGCTAGGCACACCCTGGGGCTTAGCTGGGACACACGGGCCTCTGACTCTGGCTGAGTCAATGTAGAGACTCCCTGTAAAGGGAACAGTCTCCTGGAACATTTAATTTTCAGAGACTAAATATAGTAGGAGCCACTGTTCCCTAAGGAGCAATCCGGAAGGGTAGACAAGGAAGGTATGAGAGGAGAATTGGGCTATTTGCCTCAGTACTGCCACAAACAAGCTTCGAGACCTACTGGCCAAGGGCCCGCTGCATTTGAGATTCTCTTCAGCTGCAATCCTCACGTGGCTGCTGTAGAACGCATCTAAAAGGGGCTGACACAGTCCAGGGTGAGCACCACTCTTGCAGCCACAGCAAGGCCAGGAGAGGGTGGCAGCGGGTTGCTAACTGGGGAGCATGGGGCTTCAAGGGTGTTTCCAGGATAGGAGCAGCAGAGGGCTGAAAACCCTGCTGGGGTCCCCAGTGACTTACATCCCTAGAGACAGGCAGACACTTCAGTGAAGTCGTTGGTTTGAGGGCTTAATCCCAGGCCTCAATATGTTCTCTGTGTTTTTGGAATTATCCTTCCCAACATTATTCCAACTTAGCTCTCTGCCTAAATAAGCAATCTGTCCTTCCAGACCCTGGTAGGAATTGGCCCCTTCTCTTTGACAGTGTCCAAGCTGCCTCGGAGCAGATCCCTCACCTCTGCCGTCCCTCTCATCTCAGACTCTCACCACCCGTGGTGGAGAATCGACTCCTCAGGGGAGCGTCCTCTCTTAACCCCTCCTCATACAGCACTTGCTGAGGTTGGATATGGGATGGTCTTATCAGGGCAGAAGCGTGTGGTGTTCTTTTGTGCTCAGCAGAGCCTGGCCTCTAACAGGTGATTAACAAGACTTGGGGAAGGGGCTGGGGTAGCTCTGGTTAAGAAAAAGCTGTAGCCAGGGAGGCCTGTTACGGTAAGAACTCTTCCCAGCCCCAACAGGGTTCCAGGGGCCTGGCTTAGCTAAGAAGCACCCACCGAAATCCAGAGAGATGATGGCGTCTCCTGGGGTGGGAGCCAGCTGGGCCAGCTCCTCAGGCTCCTCCTTTAGCTTGGTGAATAGGAAGTTACTCTTCTCAGACACAGCCCCCTTGCCACTGCTATCAAAGATGCTGTTCATGGCCATCAGGTGGGGCTTGAACAGGGATTCCGTCTGGTCCATGGAGAACACCACGTCATTCTTCTCAATCTCACTAATGGGGGAAAAGAGCCGTTCAGACCTTCCACATTTTCTAGAAAACTTCTGCTCCCCTAGATGCATGGAAACCCTGACAGCTAAGCTCTCAGACAAAAAATGGGTAGGACCCCAGGCATTGGCATCTTATAAAGAACCACACAATAGAAGTGTGTGAGCCATGGAGGTAGTGACAACAGGGGTATCCTCTGAATGTATGTCCATTTCGGATTGTGTTTTATTAAATATTATTGCACTTGAGTGGGGTAGTATGTATGAGGTCTGAATGCTTTTGTTTTTCCCTATTTCTAGAAACAACTAGAAATGACCTCCTCTAGCTTTCTTTCCAGGTACTATAGAGTGAAGGCATGACATCTTTTTTTCCCAAAAGCATGACCAATTCTCTTTCCTTTTTCCCCATTCAGAAAATATTGACTACTGTGTGCTATCTGCCTCCCCACCTGGGTCAGATGCATGGCATAAATGACAGAGGACAGGGAAAGGGCAGAAAAAAAAAATCCCAACCCAGTATCTCACTGTTCCAAGACATCCACAGGAATCCTCTCAGTCACTAGGGTTAGCCCTGCAAGAGCTCCCTGAGGTGGTGCCCAGGGCGCTGAGAGGCCTGGCATCTCCTAGGCCTGTCATCCTCAGTCTGGGAAGCTTGGGCACCCCCACATACCCTGCACCAAGGCCCGCCAGCCCTCACACACTCACCTCAGAACGTAGTTGACACACATGATGCACTGGGGCTGCAGGTTGCGAGGGTTGTAGATGACTGTCCCCTGGGTTTCCAGCCACACGTAGCCCCCATGCTTTGCGAGCATCCGGTACTGGCCACTTACCACCTGGCCCTTGGTGCACACTAGGGGAGAAACAGAGCTGAGCTTAGGGAGGTGGGGCAGGGGTGTGCACCACAGGCTCAGCAGATCCCATGGGAGGGCAGTCTAATCTGCAGAGGAACAGACAGAACAGGGCACCAGGACAGTGAGGACCAGGGAGAGTGACCTGGGAGGGAGCTTAGGGATCACCTCAGCCAACTCTTCATTTTAAATCTAGGAAAAAGAGGTGAGAAGAGGTGAAGTGACTTGCCCAAGGCTGTCTACTGAGGGAGGGACCCACTCACTGTACAACTGTGCAGTGGCCCATCCCCAATCCCTGGACAAGTCGGGCTCACAGACCAGCTCAGCTATAAGCAGAACCAAGACCAGAACCTGCCTTGCTTTCTTCACGGGGTTCAATGGGAAGAAGCCCCTTCACACTGGGTAAGGGGAGCCATCCCCTGTCAAGCACTCCAGGTTGGGGGACTTCTAAGCAGCTTAGAGAAAGCCTGACCTCAGGGCAGTTTTTTTGTTTTTGTTGTTGTTGTTGTTGTTTTTTTCCCCAGCAGACCCACCACCAATACCTGCTTATGGATAAAAGCATTTAAAAAATTGACATCTTTGATTTTTCCAGGTCATCTGTCAGGCTTGCCACCTTTCCGTGCGGTGAAGGTTTGTGATCCACAGCAAAGGCAGAGGCAAACCACCTCACCCTTTCTCAGTTGGGGTTGAGAAAGGTCTGGGACCCTGGCAGCCCACACAGTCTCTTCATAAGCTGTAATAAATCTCTTACACTCCTTCTTCTCCCAACTGCCCAGCTAGGCTTCCTGCTTATGAGGTTTTTCCTCTTCTAGATTGTTCTACCAAGTGTTCATTTAAAAAGTGCTTTTATTGTCTACCTTGGGGAAGGGTTTCACATCACAGGACTGTCCCTCCCCAGTCTAGAATGCTCCATCTTCTGCCATTCAAAAGGAATCAATACATCTCTTTAAAGTCTAATAATGTTAGAATTTTTGATATTTTTCTGAACTACCCATTCCTTGGGAATTTACAGAACTGCAGCTCAGAAGCTCCCAAATCACAGAGACGTTAGGAAAGAGCATGGAGGGAGGACTGGGAAATCTTGCTAGTTTGGGGATTTTGAGAAAGGAACAATCCTTCTTGGTTTTGGTTTCCTCCTCTGCAAAATAGGATATTGATAATAATAGTAGTAATGGTAATAATCGTCATCATTAGCTACCCAGTATACCACTGCCATTTGTACTGAGGATCGAATATATCTACATGGCTTATCAGGTACATAAGTGTTGACCAACTGTCACCAACAAATTTTGTATAGGAAAAGCCACCTCTTTCTTAGAGGTACTAATACGTATTGTGCCCATGCCCTGTCACAGACAATTTGTTACACGTTGGTAGAGAGTGTCATGAGGGGCCACTTGGGAGGATATCCAGGTTCTCCTGGTAGGCTTGCAGGCCTCCTCCCCATTCACCAGCCCCGTACAGCTGGAGAATGTGGCTGTCTTCATACTAGTGCAGTTTAGTAATCCTTTACACTTATGTTTTGCTTTCCTCTTCAAAATTTAACAAGCACCTGCAAGGTGCAAGAATTCCTGTAACTTCCATTTGTATAGTGTTCAAAACTATCTGATAAGATGAATTCATTTCTGCAAAGCATTTAGAACAGTGCCTGGCACATAGGGCACTCACTAAGGATTAGGTCATCATCACTGCATTTCATAGGCAACACCATGGGGTGCCTGTTATTATTCCCACTTTACAGCTGAAGAAACTGAGGCTTAAAACTACAGAGTGATTCCACCTCAGTGGAAACAGTAGACAGAATTATAGTTCAAATTAAAGATTCCTAGTCTAAGCTTTTTCTGTTTGCTCTTAATTTTTAAAAATAAATGTCATTGTGGTCAAATTTACCTTCAGTAAAACACACACCCATTTGAAGTATACAGTTCAACAAGTTTTGACATACGTACAGTGAAGGCGTAGAACTTTTCCATCACCGCCCCCACCACCCCATTTTTTATGCCTCTAGGCAATCTTCATTCCCACCCTAGTTCCAGGCAACCACTCTTCTGCTTTTTGCCACTATATGTTCGAATTGTCTTTTCTAGATTTCCATGTAAGTGGAATTGTATAGGAGTATCTACTCTTGTGTCTGGCTTCTCTACACTCAGCATGTTTTGAGATTCATCATGGTGTTGCAGGCATTTGTGGTTTATTCCTTTTCATCAGTGAGTTGTATTCCGTTGCATGGATGTACCATAATTTGTTTATCCATCTGCCTGTTGATGGATGTTTGAGTTGTTTTCAGTTTTTGGTTGCTGTAAACATTTGTGCATAAATCTTTGTATGGACATATTTTCATTTCTCGTGGGTGCAGCTAGGAGTGCAATTGCTGGATTACATGTAAAGTATATGTTTGTAAGAAGCTGCCAAGTTATTTCCAAAGTGGTTGTATCATCTTGTCTAATCTTTTAAACAAAATCCTGTGCCACAGGGAGGATAAGTATTTTCTTTTAATACAAGGAAACTGAGGCCAGAGGGTTATGATTTGCTTCACAGCTTACAAGACAATAGTGACAGAGTCTGAGCTACACAACACGTCTTGTGGCTCCTAGTACAATGGTCTCTTGATTACCTGGGTCCACAAATCACTGGAAAGACCAAATTTGCTGTTGCCACTGTCCTAAACCATCACGGACTCAACCAAGGAAACAACTTTTACCCTCTCTGCTCTCCCTTTAGCTGTGCCAGAGGCTCCTCTGCTGCACTAAAATGATTCTTGCACAATTTCAAGTGCCTGTATTTAACTTATTTAGACGGTCCTTAATGCAAACCAAATTCAGGGCTCTTACTCTTTTTGATCAAACAGTGCAGCAAGCAAAGGTTTTAACTGCATTTCTAACAATTGCAGGCAAAGGCCTGCTCTGTCAGTAGAATATAATTAACGCCAGCTTTCTAATCATCTGGTCATTAATGCCAGCCTTAGTGAAGGGCCTGCTGCTTAATAGATAGGAAAATAAGATTAAAGGCCATAAAAAGCCTAACAGCACATAATATCCTCATATAACAAAGGCAAACTGACCCCTAACCTCGCCCCCAGAGTAACAATGTACAAATTATTAATCCATTTGGAAATTACAGCTTTCAATGATCTAAATCTGGTTGAGCTTCTCCAGGCATTTCAACGGTAAACCTTTACAGGCTAAGACATACATGGGTGTCAATGGGGGACCCCGGTGTGTGACTCTGGACCCCTCTCAAACCTGAGCGTCCAGTTATTCTAGAGCATGTGTGTGACTCTGTAGTGCGACTTTATTTGCAAAACCTCAAGGACAAATGAGAGACACGGGTCAGGGGCAAGGGGCAAGCTCCTGTCAGTTATAACTGTCATTAACCCAATTTCCAACCCATGCAGATTTCCCTTTGCTGGATGTGGGCTTGTCCCTTTGCTAGCTACGGGTTTCTGAGCTCAGGGCAGCTTTACTTGGCTCCATCAGGGTGAGAGAGAGCCTGTGATTTCTATTTGGGCTGTGAATTACCTTTTAGTGTGCCTAATGCGTAAATACATGGATTCAGTGAAAAGCACCTTATTTTCTCTAGAGTCAGCAGAAAACATGAACCATTTTTATCCTAGCCCTTTTTATAGATTGAAGATGTTCTAAAGAAGAACAAGAGGGAAAATCCTTTTTATATGCCTAGTGAGAAGTCACAATTTTTCTTTCCTTTGAGGAAAGAAAGCTTCTTCTGCTTTCCCATCCTAGAAGATAAAAGACAATACCGTCCTCCAAGACTTCCCAGAAATTTTTACATTTGTCCCTTGCTTTGGCTTCACCCTTAGCTTGGAAGGAAGGCTAGACTTTTCCCTAGATTTACATCTAAAGTCAGGAAGGTCCAGAAAGCCGGGCCCTGGGAAATCAGTGCTTCGGCTGGGCCAGAGCCTGGGCCCCTGAGTCCCAGTGCCTGGATGATTCTGTCACCTGCCTTTGAAAACAGGAACCCCTCAGGGACCAGGAAGCATGAAGGAATCCCAAAGGGAAGACTGGAACCAGATGTTACAATTTCAAAGCTTGGGCAGGCTAAGGTGGGGTCACATTCACAGGCATAAAAGAGTACCTCCACGCCTACCCCATTTCTGGGTTCCTGAGTGGGGCTGAATCTAGGTGGTGGTGGTGGTTGTTGTTGCTGTTGTTGTTGTGTGTGTGTGTGTGTGTGTTTTGCCAGAGAGCACAGTGAGAAGCTTCTCTGAGATAATCATAATGGGCCCTGTTGTACTGTCAAATCAAACCCAAAGCCATGAGGAAGAGGCAGAGGAACCAATAAGAAAGAAAAGATCTCACTCCTTAAGAGTGTTAACCATGTTCACATACAGCTTGCGGGGTTGTGGCTCTGTTGGCTGCTCTGAACTTGGCTGCCCTAGCCTTGGGGTAGATGGATGGATTTAGGAACCATGGACAAATGGCTGCACTTCATTTTCTCCCTTGCCAGCAGGGCCACTGGGAATCTTCTCAGACTTACTTTACCCATTTTTAATCCTCCCATAATCCTCTCAGCACCACTGTCTGTACCACTGTGGGCACTTGTTTTGAAGCATTCTTTTCCAAATATAGTTTTGCCCATAGGTTTATATAGTGCATTTAGTGCCTGTTCTGTACCAGACCCTATGCTAGATACTGAGGTTAAAGATATGAGCCACTTGTTCCCACAGAGCCCACAGTCCTCTTCTTTTCCTCAGAAATAAGACCCCTTAGGGCAGGAATCAATTCTACCAAGTTACATCACCCCCAGTGGGCCAAGTACAGGGTTATAGGCCCAGAGCCCTTGCACAGTGATGAGTTGCATGGATTCAAGGGAATGGTCCTGGATCACCTGCCTATAGGAAGCCTGAATTGGGAACATAGCCAAGGATACACTCTAGAACTTCTCTGTCCAATATGGTAGCTACAAGCCAAGTGTGGATATTTACATTTAAATTAATTAAAACTACATTGTATAAAATTCAGTTCCTCGGTTTCTCTGGCCACATTTCAAGAACATTTCCACTGCAGAAAGTTCTATCGGGCAGCCCTCTTCTAGAGTCCTTGCACAACTCAGGCTTCCTTCAAACTGCAAAGCAGAGTTTCCATACGCCATCCCTGGGTTGCCTGGACAGCCTTTTCTAAAGCTCCCTTGATCCAGCAAGCAAGCTCTGTGAGAACTGTGGCCTACCTCAACACATGTGTTAAGCTGGACCCATACTATTTTCCCTTCTGTTCAGCCTGAGCCTCCCCGATCCTTCAAGGTCCAACTCGAGTGTCCTTGCCTCAACTCCCCCTGCCCTCCTCTTCTGTGAACGTATGTACTCGAATGTACAGCATGCACCCAAGTTGATGATATGTTGAATTACATGTTACTCTCTACAGTGCTGTTCCACAGGGTGTACAAACCACTGACTGCACACAGGCACTCCGTGGAGGTGGTATGGGAGACTGAGACTCAACCCATCCTCTAGTGTCTCAGCTGTGGACCTTGGCGCGGGTGTGTCTCCCTGGAGGAAGTGTCCTTTTTCTGATATGCACCAAGGAGTCTATAGGCTGGTGGCCAGCCTTGGTTTTCTAACCATCTTGAGGGCATGAGTCTTGTCTGCCACACAAGACAGCAGCTCTGTGGAGGAAGTGACCTGGTCTTCTTTCTCACCAATCACCCCCCACACAAGGCCAGATACCGCAGACACAAGGAAGCCACAAGGGGCACTCCTGGAACTCACAGTTCTGGTGACTCTTGGTCATGTTCTCGGAGTCTAGCGCATGGTAGAATTCATAGGCTGAGCGGCCAAGCAGCTCCTCAGGGTGGTAACCAATCAGTTCTGTGATTCTGAGTTTTCAAAAAGGCAGCATGTAAGGAAAAAAGACCATATTAACTTAGCACAGCATGTAGGCAGCAGCTAACCCCAGAAGGCAAATCCAACACGCACATGCAGACGAACACAATCCAGACTTTCTCGTTGTACCATGTATCCAAGCAAAAGAACACTGTGCTCAATCTACAATTGCAGGTTTAACCAAACCCCTGTTGGTCCTGCCCTTCCTGAAGCCATGTTTGGGAGGAGAGAAAAGCACCAGTTCTGAGGACTCCCTCTCCCCACCACCCCGGTACACACACACGTCTGTTCTCCAAGTACCACTGGAAGGGGCTCAACCCCAGGTTTTTGCAGATGAGGGAGTAGACATCCAGGAAGGGCAGACAATTGCTTGATGCCTACACAAGTGTCCAGGGACAGAGCAAGAATGAAAACTGGGGCCTCTAGTTGCTAGGTCAAGCTCATTCTAGTAGAAGGCAGTATAAATGAAACATGAAAATGATGTGGCCCCAGGTAGAGCCACCTTTGTCTCTGTGTCAACCAGCATGTGAGAGGGAGTCCAGGCAGGCAGAGGCAGTCTGTGCTTAAGCCTTCACTTTTCTGCAGGGCCTGCCTGTGACCTCAGGTGCCTTCAGACACCAGGTTTGCCTTCCATGACTTTTTCCACTTGTCCCCCACATTTCAAGGAAAGGAGGGCGGCAAGGAGGTGCTGAGAGGAAGAAATATTAAATCATAGTCACAGAAATGTGCCTTATCATACTCCAATAGGGAGCTCTGAGATGACAGCACTTGGCTGTCATTTCAGTGTCCCTTTCTTCATTCTGTAAGGTATCTGGTTTTGATGGGAAGTGGGCAGAGGAAGGGGTACATGTGGAGAACCATGAAGGATCACTTAACACTCTTAGGACCCTTTGTTCTGTGCTGGAATCCCTAAAATAAAAAAAAGCCCTGCCTGAGAACCACCAGGTTGGCCGCTTTACCCAATATCATGTCCTATTATATCAGGCTATATAATACCTCCATATTATCTCTCAAAATCTAGGTTCTCTCACAAACTTTAAATAATGGCTTCACTGTCTTGTTTACTTGGCCTATCACAAGTTAGAAGTGATGCCACAGTCTCATTATTACAGCTCTACTTCAGAAGGCATGACTCCTGGATACAGTCCTGTAATTTATCCTTGTAGGGGATCAATAACACGGAGAGGAAAGCAGAAGCAGTGGCTCCTTATTTCCTGTCTCTGCTCTAAACCCATCCCCCAAACAGTTCAGCTTTCATATGTCTGTCAGACCAAATTGCCCTAAAATACTATTTGCATCCTGCCACACCCCTATTTAAGTATCTACAACTTTCACTTTTGCCAACCAGACCAAGAGTAAATGCTGCCTAACTTTCAGTTCCCCCGAGAACCTACTCTCCACCTTTTGAGCAATTCGATTTTCAACTCATCTGTAAAATGTTATGCACCCTCTGTCATGGAAGACCCCTCTCCCCTCAGTTCCCCATGCCTGGAAAACTCATTCTTGCTGCAGAAGCTTTATGCCTTCTCTTCTCCCCTCTTCTCCAAGCCCTGACACCTCCAGGACCAGCTCAAAGCCTCATCTTCTTCCCAGAGCCCTCTCCAATTCCTCCAGCATGACATCTCTCATGAAGTCCTAAGGAGTATGCACAGTATTACAGAAAATTATGCATTTGTCTCCTCACATCCTAGGCTGTCAATCTCTAACTCAGGGACCACTTTCTCCTTTTGCTTCCTCTATAATGGGTGCTTAGTAAAAAACCTCAACAGCTGACCAGTAGATTGATTTTCTCTTTGAACCTACGGTACAAACAGACACCTGTCTATCCCAGCACTGCTAAGGAACCTGGGCACTAAGGATCTACTTTTCTTTCTAGAATAACGCGATTAACTGTCTCAATGTGCATGCACACACACATGCGCACATGCACACACACACACACACACACACACAGAACCTGTCATGATATTCTGTCTATCCTTTCTTCATTCTGTAAGGCATCTGGTTTTGAAGTGGGCAGAGAAGAGACAAGTTCTCTGCTTGGGTGAGACTTTGGAGGTTAAAGCCTTTGTCAAACAAGGAGCAGCTCAACAGGGCTGAGAGGCTTAGGTCTCAGCTGATTCAGCCCAATGGAGATTTCTCCAGTGAGATCCTAGCAGCTCATTTGTGCCAGCCAGCTAGTCTCAGAGCAGAAGGATCTGTCCCTTCGCTTGACCCTGAGCAGAGAGGTCTCTGAACTCATTAGCAATGGATACATTATCTGGCAACCTGACCCTGGGGCTGGCACCCAAGTACACCTTGGCAAAGGTGGAGACGGGGGGGGGGGGAACAAGGAGACAGAACAGTGGTGGTCCTACGATCAACTAGCTTCGCTGCTGGGTCAGATGACTTTCAAGCTTAGCCTGGGAACTAGAACTGCATGAGTGAGCCCTGCTGACAATGGCCTGGCCATCTACAGGCTCACCGACTTGCCAGATAAACTGCTTCTGTTCCTGGGCAGGTATAGAATTTTCTAGAGACCCTCCAAAATGAGTCTACTGGCATGCTAGGAAAGATGTCTTTCTACTCTCCGAAGGAATTAAATTTCCTTTCGAGATTACAATCTTTAAATTAAAATGTTCAAAGTAGATGTTTATTATAATCAGCCTCATAATAAAATGTTTATCTAATTAATGTATCATCCATTCAAAGGCACACAATGGGCATGTTTTGGAAGTGGACAAACAAACCTAGATTTCAGAACTGCCAGATATCTTCCCAGTAGCAGCTTTCATTTATCTTGTCAACTAAAATAAATATTTAATGTCTTTCTTCATTCCTTTAAACAGACTACTATAAAAACTGGGAAACACACCACATCCCAAACACAATTGAAGAACATTTGAGTTGTCAAACTTCACAAAGCCAGGAAACCCCAACTTAAAGCTCATGGTCATTCGCCCCCATGTGCAGGCACGTAGACGCCAGTGGGGAGGTTAATGAACCGAGCTTGTTTATAAGGTCGCTCCTACGGCACACAAGGGCCTTCCCCGCTCATTTCCCCCAGGCTCCAGACAAGCCTTCCGAGCTGGGCTGTGATAACACAGGTTCATCTGCTCTCTCCATCAGGGGCCAGGGAACTGTTTTTTGTTTTTTGGTTTTTTTTCTTTCTTTCTAAGGACCCCTGACTCACTGGGAAAAAGAAAATCAGTTGGAGGTCACCCATAAATTTAAAAGTCAACTCAGTAGGGCTGTTCTAAGAGAAGAGAGAAATGTATGAGGACTTAATTCACCAGATTTCAAACATAAGAACAGAGGATACTTTTTAATAATAAAGTCAAAAAACAGCAGACCAAGATGCAGTGAGGAGAGAGATGCAGATAGATAGGCAGCCACAAGGAGGCAGAGGAAGGATGAAAGGAAATAGGAAATACGGTTTTAAAGGGGGTTGTTAAACTCTGAAGTTGGTGTTACCCCAAGTGCATATGTGGGCCAGCTCTCTGAGCTCCAGACTTCAGAGTGAGATGTGCCTTCAAAATGTAAAATGAATGATTCATTGCCCTTTACTCTCAAAACTGTTCAGAAGCTCTATTCAAAATACACCACCTATAGCAGAGTGCTTGCAAAAAAATTATTCTCTTGGCTTCAGTGTGAGTGCTGCCACCTCAAGGGGCAGAGAAAAATCCACCCAAAGGCCTGAGAAGGCTCGCTCTTCTTCCCCGCGTGTAATCGCCAGCACCCATCCATGTGTGGTGCAGCGCCACAGTCCTTGACTTCAGATGCCACTGCCTGGAGTCACGCAAGATCTGGCTGCAGTTTTTACCCCGTTCCCTACACGAGTAAAGGATTTGCTAGGTAAATTAATCATGTAAGCAAGATGGTGAGAGAGTATTTAAACTGTTTAAGAGGATAAAAGTTTTAAGCACTTCGTAACCACCTATTTGTTTTCCAAAGAATGTATCTGCTAATAAATACTTCAAGTCGGCTTGCTTTCCTTCCACACTCTGCCCATCGCCTCTCTTCAGCACCCCGTGATTTATCTCATTTTGGTTTCTATATGTGCTTATAAGCTTTGACACTGCATTTCCTTACTAATACCTACACTGTTCACTAACTCAGATTTCAGTGCCTTTGGTTGGTTTTAATGTATTTTCATCTAGATTTTGTTTGCTTTAAACGGTACTTAAGCTTTGTGTTTTCCTCAAATACTACATGGTTATATGAAATCTATACAACCAGCTCTGTAATTAATGGGAAATCCATTTCTATCCTGTCTGTGGAGTGTTACAGGGTACCTGTGGGGGTAAGTGTATACGTAGGAAGGTTGTGTGTGTGTTTTACAACTTGTGGCTCTTTATTTATAGTTATCCTTACTGACATTATCTTTAGGATCCTCAACCTTTCCCTCACTTTTACCATTTTTACTTATTCTCAACTTCTTTGTACAAAAACAATTCACCATAAATGTATCCACAGAACTAGGAATGTAGGCATCTTGATTTATTAAACTGTAACTCCTGATATTAGTATGTCCTATATTGCATGAATCCAATGACAAAACAGGGTTGCCCTCAAATTCTTTACCTGTAAAAATTGTATGACCCTCTTTGTTGATTTGAAATTTTTACTGTAATTTTGAAAACTTTTCCCCCCGTGATACTGCTCCTATCCACATAATTTGGTTTTATAATTTATTTCTAAGATACAGGAAGACTCCTACAACTAACAGAATCTTAGTAGGATTATATGATAATTAGAAAGGCTTTGCTTCTATCTCCCTGATGGCTTGGCTTCCTTCACAGTTCTCTCTTTCACCACTAGATGGCACCTCCACATGAATTTAAGAACCACCCTATTTTAAAGTTAAACTACTTGGGAACAACTTTTGTCTTCCTTTTGGGTAAATGGAATGTTGTATTTTGTACCATTTACTGTGGTTTCATTAAATGGCTTATGTCTCAAACTCTCAACTCCTGGAGATCAGGAATCATCTCTTTTACTTTGATGTAATGGTCTCTGGCACACAGTTACATGGCAGATGCTCAATAAATGACAGTTCGTAACTGGTTGCTCAGTATTCTGGGAAACAGAGTATAATGCCTATATTTGAGTCATAAATGAAGAAAAGATCATTAATTCCATCAATAATCAGGACATTTTTCTTTTACCCTGCTACTCAACTTGCTCCCTTGTCTAGAGCAGTTGACCATAGGTACATAAATGTGATTGACATAATTGTTATGAAATTTAAAGTATTTACTATTTTTAAAATAATTAATGCAAGACTTAATATGGTACTCTGATCCCTCATTAACAGGAGGACAAATGCATTTTGAACCATCTGTATTCCTTTATTCAATTTCAGATGTTTCAGAATAGGTTGTTTCAGATTCAACTGATTTGACCTGAGAGTTCAGTGTAAAATTAGAGTTGTCTTTTTCTCTTCCACTTCTCTCCCTTCTTTCCTGTCTGCTTTCATCTTTTTCTCCATGACCCTTTTTCTTTTTTTGCTTGATTGTGTCTGTGGTCTCAGTATATCTAAGACAAGTACCAAACTGCTTCAAAATTGATTTTGTGGATTCTAACTGCCATACATTTTCTTCAGATTCTAACTTTTCTTGTAGGAAAACAATCCCCTTTGTGGGAATCACAGCCCCTTGTGCAGATGTCATTAAACCTAGTGAATTTTCTGATTAAAATGGAGAACCCCTCACCCCATTAGGTATCATGGACAGGCATTGGTTTTTGCAGCATTTGTCTCTGAAGGGGAATTGAGGCGGAGAGTGTGTATATGTGTGCATGTGCATATGCTTCTCCCCATCCCAACACGACGAGTGAAAACAAAACGAGCTACCAAAACCAAAAAATCTCAGGCCTCATCAAAGCAATTAAGATATAACACTTAGGGATTAAGGACTTAAAATAGTCACTTCATCAACTGTCTAAGCCATGTCTGTGCCCTTGTTAACTAATCTGCTAATCGGTTAAACACAACTTCTGTGTGACACAGCATTCTATGTCTTTAAATGCTTCTACATGCAGCTCTCCAGCACCACTGAATTCAGACTTGGGGCCATGTAATTAGATTTCTTGAAAGGCAAGATTTTGCTGAAAATGCAGTGTGTCCCACAGAACTTATAAGCAATATCACCCTCTACATTATGAGTCACAAAGTCCTAAATCACGAGGCTTGATACTTCCTTTAAGCCAGAAGCTACCCTGCCTACCAGCCCTGAGCCAAACTAAGAAGTCAGCAGAGCGTCTTTCCCCTTTCTATGTACATTTCCTCTCCAGCCACATTTAGACATCCAATTCCTTGTGTTTCTCCCCCTCTTCTTTTGTCCAAAGGTTAGTACCTTAAGAAAATTACCTGAAATTCATTTAAACCAAGATAATGAATAAAGGATAATGCTGCATTACCCTTTCCAGAGGATTTCTTCTCTGTAAAAAGGATCAAAATCTTAAACTGAAAAAAAACTCTCCTATTATCTAGGGATGCCAAGTTATTTTCTGGGACAGTAGGGTTTTCCGAGTGCTTATGGAGTCACATTACGGATGTGCTTCACTCACCAGGGTGAAGCACGTATCTGACTTTCATCATCCACAGCACTATATATGCTCCCAGGCTATATGGCTAGGTCAGCTTGAGCCACTTCACCTCAAAGCCAGTGACACAGGAGCTATGCACTGGGATTGTCCATGTTATCTCACAAGACTACTGAGAGGGGTGCATGAAGCTGTGTCTTCTGCCCAGAATGTTCACTTGAATACAAAGACTGCATCTGATAAATAACTTTACCTATAACATGGATTCCTACAGTGCCTGTCACTAAAAGGGCGATCTTCTTCTTGAACCACCATCATTATCACCACCACCACCACCACCACCACCAAGTGCAATAAATGGTGACTGTGTCGAAGTTCCAGGATGAAAGGCTTCATACATGACATTTTCTCCCTATGAGGTTAGAGCATTTCTTTCTACTTATATAACTTCCCACTAGCTGCAAAAGCTGTGAGTCTTGGCCCTACTGTGGTCAGAATTGAAGGACAGGAATGACTCAAGGATACTTTTACAAAAGTTCTGAAATTGTGCCACAAGTGGTGGCCCACTCTAAGAAGGGGCGACCAACCAACACCAGGCCAGTCTGGAATCAGAGGAGAGAAACCCCATCCTGGAGAGAAGGGTCCCTCCCATGAAGAAACCAGATGCCCTTGGGATGTCCAGCTGATAAGAGAAAATAAGAGAAAAGTGGATAGGCCTAGGGGAGGCTGAGCAGGAGCTTTTTTCCTGGGGTTCCGTGGTTTCCTGCTGGCTAAGACAAGGCAGATTCTTGCTGATCTGGGGGTCAGATTCTTCCTCTTCCTGCCCCCCAGCCACTAACTGCCTTCAGAAGTGATTTCAGCTCCTTGAGTTTAGTGGAAGATTTTGCTTTGGAGGAGGCCAAGGACAGGAAGTAAGATATAAGCAATAACAAGAAGCCTCACACGTGTTGTGGTGTCTTGACTTCTCAAAGTGCTTGCACAGCCATTATCTCATTTTACAACAACCCCATGAGACAGGTTGAGAAAGTGTTATCTCTATTTTGGAGAAGGGGAAACTGAGATCTCAGGGTTTCCTGAGGAGAAACCCTAGAAGATGAGAAAAGAGTGACAAAGGGCTGCCACAGGAACTATCACCCTGGGACACATGGCGGCTCTAGATGCTGCAGAAAGCTGAGGTCGGGCGGGGAGATCTCTGCCAGGAAGGGCACATCCGGGGTGTGCTGCTCAGCAAGCCGCAGTGGCACTTACTCAAGCCAGGCCTACCCTAGGCCCAGTCTTCTGCATTTCCTGCCCTCCCTGGGGCCGGGCATTGCTCCGGGCATCGGTTCTCCCCATCTTCCTCCTACTTCCCATCATCAGGCTCCACAGTCCCAGAGGCAGGGCTGGTGGGGGAGTTAGGAGCTGTAGGGTGTCTAAATACTCCCTCCTATGACAACTCCAGCCTCTTCCCCACCTGCTTCAATCTTCTCAATGAGCTAAGAACCCGAGATGGCATGACTTACATAAGCAGTCTTAGGCATTCTTTCAACAACTCTAATAAAGGTGATAATAAGAGCTAACACTGAACATTTATTACTAAATTTGAACCTAGGCCATCTAGACCTGAAGCCCATGCTCTTAATCACTACTGTGACTGCCAAGAGACACTGGGCCTGACACTGGGGGTTTAGCGTCCTTAGCTACCTTCATCTTAGCCTTCAAAATGGCTGAACAACGGCCGGAATGGAGTTGCATGCAGGAAGGAATAAGGCAGAGGGAAAGGCTCAGTCAGTAATGGAAGAGGGTCAGTCTCCAGGGCAGAAGGTGATGCTCCTTACTGGCCTCTAAAGCAGGAGTACAGATGGAAGTCTCTAGACTCTTCTCTTTCTCCTGGGTCAGAAGACCGCCTTGAGAATTTCCTCAGGAGCCTGATACATGTATGGAGAAATACGTTCACACCACAATGATGAGAAGAGTTGCGTACCAGGAAAGCTCTGCAGATGGACCCTGTAACTCTGTCCATGGGAGACCACCAAATACAGTACCAGGAACCTCTGAGGGGCACTGATGCAATGAAACAGTGGCACAGGTCCATGAACATGGCACCCGGCAATATGTCTAGTTTCGTACCTTTAATACAGGCACAACTCCCCCCACACACAGGTAAGACCCATCTCTGCCCACAGCATACACACTTATGGCCCCCTACCTGTCATCACAGTAGGTGAACTTCATGTCCATGCTGTGGCGGCTCAGGAAGGTCTTGCTGTCCAGGGGAATGTCCATGTGGGATGGGTGCTGGATCGGTTCACACATGATGATGAGGCAGGACAGCAGGGGCTCCTTGTAGCCACACAGACTATTGTGAGGAGGGCAGTTGTTGTAGACTTTCACTTGGCCCGTGCAGTGCAAGACCTGAGATAGGCATGGAAGGGTCAGACATGGGGCCGAGTGCTGGGGGTGGGGGTAGGGTCTTAGGCATCCCCCACACTGCCATCGCCCTACACCTGGGACTCCAACCCAGGCCTGATGTTGCCCTACCTTCCAGGTGGCTGACTTGAGGTTGACAGTACGGCCTCTGTTGGTGACCGTGCACTTCATCCTCATGAAGAAGTCCCGCTCTGTGGACATGTCTTTGCTTTTTTTCCCAAAACCAGAGCCTGAATGTGGAAGGATGGGAAGAACCAGCTGAAGTTAGTTTTGTATGGATATTCATGAGAGGGGCCCAGCTGCAGTTTTTCTTGGCAGCCTATTGTTTGTATTTTCCAAATATCTGCTCTCTTAGCACCTGTAGTCTGCCATCAACACTGAGCTCCATCATGGCCTGTGGACTAATGGTTCCCACTCTCCAGCTTATCTCCTCCACTGGAGGATTAACTCCCACAAGGTAGGAGCTGCTGCATCATTTGATTTCCCATTGCTTCTGAAACATGGTCAGTGGTGCCTTCAGAGCAACACTTCAGAGACAATGAGTGCATATCAGCCACTAACTCAGCAACCCTTTTCTGGGGCAAGGACCAGGTCCTTGCAGAAATTCCAAGGGACAATCTGGGTGAGGCCACAGTTACTCCAAGAGTGTAAGCCTCACAGGTTAGAAATGTCTCTCAGACACTCCCATCTTTCCTTTATATAACCTGTCTCTCAGGAGGAATTTAACCCCTCCTGTACTCCATTTGCAAAATGCAATAGCTGTGTTCAGGATACCATGCCATTAGCTTTCTCCCTGAAGTGACATATGTATCAAGGCTCTAGAGAGACCTCTGGTACGAATCTCCTTACAGTGGATTTGGTGAGCAAGTCCACTTTACAGATTAACTCAACCTGGATCATATCCTCTCTTTCAGCAAGAATTAAATAAATCACCAAGACCAGCAATATAGCTTCCTTCCTTATAGTTGCCGAACAGCCTACCCATTCAGAACCATTTTCCACTTTTTGTAAAACAAAGTAATGAATAGAGTGTCAGCTGAATCCCACTTGTCTATGTCCAAATCCTGCCTACACCACCATCTCTGGTTCCTACTTTCAAAGATATAATCCTGCCCCTACCCAGCATCACAGAACAATCTGGAGCCTTGTTTCAAATAGTCACACTCCTTCCTCCAGGAACAGTCACCAGCCCCTGCACTTAAACTTCCAGAGGACCTTGACTTGACTGACATATTCCTGAACAGTTATGTGTCAAAGGAATTGTGGCACCCTTGAACAAAACTTCAACACCCTTAGGGGACCCCACTCAGTAAGAGACTGAATAGTGAATTTTTTTTAAAAAAGGAGAGAACATTCCTTCATCACGATTATAAAACCATTTCTCCCACACCAAATTATGATTCTTGCCATTTTAATTTTCAGAGGTGGGGTTAGCATACAATAAGATATACTTGTATCTTGGGATCTGGCCCCACCACCAGGACCAGACCAGTTGTTGGGTATGAGGGGGCTGGAGGGATTCATTTGTGGCTGTTGCTTGGGTATTACTGAGGCCTTTTAACTTGCTAACCTCTAGATTCTCCCCATGTTGACACTGGATCTTTCTTTTTTTTGAAATGGAGTCTCGCTCTGTCGCCAGGCTGGAGTTCAGTGGCATGATCTTGGCTCACTGCAACCTCTGCCTCCTGGGTTCAAGTGATTCTCCTGCCTCCACCTCCCAAGTAGCTGGGATTACAGGCGTGCGCCACCACACCTAGCTAATTTTTCTATTTTTAGTAGAGACAGGGTTTCACCATGTTGGCCAGGATGGTCTCGATCTCTTGATCTCATGATCCACCCACCTCAGCCTCCCAAAGTCCTGGGATTACAGGCGTGAGCCACCGTGCCCGGCCTTGATCATTCTTTCTAAACACTGCTCCACACAGATCACTCCACCCCTGCACAAAAACCTTCAATAGTTCCCCATTGTCTATGGAATAAAGTTCAAGGCCCTCCACCTGGCCTTCAAAACCTTCCGCAATCTGCCTCATGGCTTTGTTTTCCTCTAGGAACTCACACTAACCCTTTAGGTCTAGATTATGAGTCCATCCACAGGCTAGTACCTTCAGTGAAGACTTGCTGATTCATGAGTTTGATCCCAGGTCCTCAATATGCAGATCAAGAGATCTAAAGTTCTACTCAGATAATTAGAGGTCACTTGGCTGTGAATCATGGCACTTGAGAACTGAAAGGTCGTCGCCTTTGCCTAGTCCAATACCAGCAATTTGAAAAGACAGACTCTGAGGAACAGAGAAGTAGGGTACTTGCTTCTGGTCACAGACTCAAACTCAGACTATGGTCAGTGGTTGAACTGAGACTAAGAACCCAAAGGCCCAAGGGTTTCTGGAGTAGAGAAGAAATCAATCTTTGGTTTCCTCAGGCTTTCTCAGGCTTTAAGCACCTACCCATTCAGAACATGAATCTCTTTTTAGAGAAATTTAGAAAGTGTGGTAGCCCTTTCCCCATAGAACCAGACAAGACATTGAGCAGCCGATGGGGTGCTCTCTGCCAGTGTACTCTAGGACCCAGGTGGCCTAAGGCCTGCAGATGAGAGAGCAGAGGAGCTGGGTGAGGGAGCTGTGGCAGTGGTAGAAGAGGAGGTGGTTGTAATTCTGTACTTTGCAGGCTCAGTCTGTAACAGGGTGGAGGTGAGCCAATGAAGTATCTGCTTTTGCAGCATGTGTGGTAATAAGAGCCAAACTTTGTAGGCTTAGCCTCACTGCCTCTGTTATTCAGGTTGGACAAGCATAAGCCCCATGGCAGTGACAGGTGATATTATTAAAGAGGACATCTAGACATGCACAGAATCTGCCCAGACCAGTGACAGAATCTCAGGTTTGGAAGGGACCTTGACAGTCATTAAGCCCCACTTCTGCCCAAAGCTTCAGTCCTCTTAACAATGTCCCTATTCATGCCTCTGTTGAATGGCCACAGTTACGAGAGAGGAAGCTCTACTGCCATTGCAACGTGCTTTCTGCCTGTGTGGGTCCTCTCATCCACTGGCACCTGCTGGGTATCCCCATGGGTAAGGTCCTGTACGCTAGATCTTTTTAAATCTCTTCTCCGTCAAAACCTACTTGACCTATGTCTCATCAGGGTACCATTTCCTGTGGTAGCTCATCTCCAAAAGTAGCTCCAACAAGCCATGCCATGAGCCATGCCTCATGGCTTTGTGTAGTTTCCTCCCACAATGAGCCAGGGCTGTCCTGTAACATGCTCTAACCAACAACATGGGGCAGAAGTGATGCTCTGCTAATTTGAGGACAAAACCTTGGGAAGGCCTGGCAACTTCCACCTTAGTGCTTCTGGGAGCCCTGAGCTGCCACATGTCTGGCTACCCTAGAGACACCGTATGGAGAGGGAGAGTCTCTGAGACTCCATGGAGTGAGAGAACAGTCCCATTGTCCCAGCATGCCAGCTGAATCCAGGGTTCCAGCCACCTGCCACAAGGTCCCAGACATGTGTGAGCTATCCTGATCACCCCAGCCTAGTCTGGCCCCCAGATGACTGCAGCCCCGCTGACATCACATGGAGTATAAGACCCACCCACTGAACCCACAGAACGCTGGGAGATAATCATCAAAGCCTTATGTTTTAGGTGGTTTGTTCCACAGCAATAGATAACTACAGTAGTTCCTATAAGCACTTTGGCACAGACTGGTTTCTCACTGGTTTGGGTGGTGTCATTTGGCAGAGATGCTTGACTCTTGGGTGATGAAACCTCCTAGAGACAGTGTCCTAACCCAAAGGAGTCCCCTAGTAGTGGGACACCAGGCACCATGTGGGGCCAGCAGGAGATACTTCTGAGTACCGGGTCCTCTCAATGCCCCAATCTCATCTCACAGGCTACACACTTAAACGGAGGGCCAGCCTAGCTAAATTTTTTAAGGACATCCATTTTTCCTGCATTGCAAGGCCATGAGCTATCTCCCTTATACTTGTAGACAAAGGGGAGGCAGATTCCCACCCAGTGGGGGCAAGAAGGAAATAAACACAATTAAGGATACCATTTTTGAGACTCAGGTTCTCACGAATCTCCTCGTGGTCGCAGGGATGAGTGAAGTCAAAGATACTATGTCCTGTTAGCTCCACCTGTTTCAAAAACAAGGTTAGGCATCATTATTCCTAACAGTGAAGTAAAAGACTCCAAGAGGAAGCTGAGCCACCTTCCAGATTTGGAGGCAGGGAGGAGATTGAATTGGGTTTTCTCATAATCCCAGTCCAGTGTCAGGTCCACAGACAGAAAGATGTAATGGGGGATTACTGATGACAGAGTCTGTTAATGAGTCAGTAGAGAGCTGTCTGCCAGGATGGACATAAGCAAAGCCAAACCCAACGCTTGGGGGTGGGACTGTGGCCTGAGGCATGTGGCCTGAGGTCAGCGAGGGTCACAGTGGCCATTTACAGGGAAAGGTCAAGTGGGATTGTGGCTAGCACCTTCTACTCATTTCTACCCCCAAATGGAAACATTTCTTCTTTTGAAAGAGATAGAGGAGGGTGTCACCTGTGTAAGTCCCATGAACTTGCTGATGTTTTCTGACAGAAAGATCATGTCGCCATCTTGGGTCACCACGGCAATGAAACCCTCCAAGGCTTTCAGGTACAAGTTGTCCATCTGCTGGTCAGCTTCAGCTTCAGACTCATTTTCAGAGCAAACTGGAAAGAGAGGGGGGTGGGACAGTTACATGAATGTGGAGTGAAAACAGATGTGACTGGCACAGATAGGCATTTGCCAGGGATGGCGCAAAGGCATCGGGTGGACTCTTCTGGAAACGCGCACTGCCGACCATCTGAATGTCTGCCCCAGCCCGGCAGCAGGCACTGGATGAGCACCACTGCACAGAGGACACCCTGACAGGGGCTGTGAGGACGGTGTGCTTGTTGTGACAACAGTACTTCTGGCACTAGTAACGGGAGCAGTAGGAGCTGCTGTGTGAGTGGTTCGGGGTGGAAGTTTTCCCAGGCTGCCCCCAGCAACCACCTGTACAGCCTGTAGACTCGGCTCTTGTCCCAGACCAAAAACACCTCTTGGGCCCCAGGTCTTTGGTGGTTATACACAGACCACCGACTTCATTTCAGCCCTTTTCTCCTAGTTCATTATTTATCTCCAAAGACATTTACTTATGAAAATTTGTATTTATCCAGTGCAAACATCAATCAAAGTATGCCTGAATATAACGGTACTCATAGAAGCAGGAACAAATTTTAGCTGCTAATATATACTGCAATCACAACATGAAAGGTACTGCACTAAGCATGCTATGTAATCTTCACAGTGACCTACGAGGTAGATACTATTCTTAATCTCATTTTACAGATGAAGTGTACAGAGGTTAAGCCATTTGTCCAAAGGTATAAAGATTGCAAAGTTAGCAAGCTTTGACAGCTGAATCCAGAAGCCACACTCAACCATTCATAGGCTTTGGAGTTAAACAGAGGTTCTCTTCCTAGATCACCCTCCTATTAGGCTATGACTCTGAATAAGGAACAACCTCTCTGGATATCACTTTCCTCATCAGCTAAATGGGAATAACAATTTCCACCTCTGAATTGTAAGGATTAGATAAGTATGTAAAGTGCCTAAAACTATAACAACAGTAAATTCTTTCTTCTTTCTGCTCCAAGACATGCACTACCCTCAAATTGCTCAGATCCCGGGTGAGGAATATATAGCACTCAGAGATGCAAAGCTAAGTAAAAGTTCAAGGGTGTCATAGCTGGGCTTCCAAGGAAAAGTGTAGATGGGACGAGCTCTAAGGGTCAGAGGACGAGGGGGTCACTTTGGGGTGATCACAGACAACTAACTGTTCCAAAGAAGATTTGCAGAGACTTAGAAAAACAGATTTCACTCTGTGGAATGAAAGAAGGGCCTTCTGAACCAGATGGGATTGTGTGAGCACTGGAAAACCCCTGGAGCAAGCTCCCTCCTAGACTGAAGAGAGGCCCATCTGGCTCAAGAGGAGAATCCATCTTCCAGTCTCAGAGATTGGGCTGGTGAGACAGGCCCAGTGTCCTGGAGGGGCCTCACGTGTCAAGCAAATGTGATCAGAGGAGTGCATCTCAAAGCACTGCTTTGGGGAGATTAGTCTGGCAATGGCATACAGTGTGGTCTGGAGAGAGTGAAGCCCAGAGGTGCAAAACAGAGTGAGCAGGCAACTGCATTCTCAGCAGGCTGTACAGGTGGTTGCTGGGTGCAGCCTGGGAAAACTTCCACCCCGAACCACCCACACTTTGAGTATCCTGGCCTGTCTAGTATACCTCTGCTATCTGAAAAATACAGACTCGGCTCTTGTCCCAGACCAAAAAAACCTCATAGGCTCCAGGTCTCTGGTTGTTATACACAGACCACAGACTTTATTTCAGCCCACTTCTCCTAGTTCATTATTTAACTCCAAAGAATTTACTTATGAAAATTTGTATTTATCCAGTGCAAACATCAATCAAAATATGCCTCACTTGATTTACAGAACGAGGAGATTATTTGTCACTTGCAAATATTAATATTCACTTAACTAAAAGGAGTCTTTCAAATGGAGACTATTCTAAGGAATGCAAAATGCAATTCAGTGTATGGGCCACTTGGCCAGGGACACATCAATGCTGTGAAATGTCGTTGAAGGGCCTTTCTGCAAGGGCACTGGATTTCTCTCTTATCTTTTTCCTCGAGCCTCTAAATTTAAGCTTTGGGTTACCTGCCGTTATTCCTCAAGAAGAACAAATCCACATTACAAGATCTTCCTACCAAGAGGCTTCAGTGGAGGCACAGGGGACCAGCTACCTTTCAGGACACAGGATGAGGGAACATGCCGGAGTCACAGATGCCTTCTGCACAGCATCACAGTGGGTCCTGTCCAGGGATGGGCAAGCCTTCAGAGCCAAGAGTTGGGCTGTACAGAGTAAGGCCCCGTGGCTTTCCCTGTTTTGCTAAAATGGTGAAACAAAATTAGGGAAATTCTTTCCTCTCTACACCCTGTTTCAGGTGGGTAGCCTGGAGAAAGGAGAACCACAGGTCATGGGAATGGCCTTATACCCCTTATACCATACATATACGCACACCTGATCCCTGCTTGGGGTTTCTGCTGATACACCTGTTCTTTGCCAGCTGACCAGCCCGCTGAAGTGATGATGAACCAATGTCCCAGGTGTGGGTGATGCCACTGTGAATGTTAGCTTTCCCAGCTAAAATCTTCTTTTGAGTGGGGGCTTTAGGGGAGAAAATGACTTAACTCAGGGCTTTCAAATTTGAGTATGCATCAGAATCATCTATAGGCCAGGCTAAAAGAAAAATGTCTGGGACCAGGACTGCTACATAATTTGTGTGGCCCAGTGCAAAATAAAAATGCGAGACCTCTCATTGGAAAAATTAAACCAAGCCTGAGAACCTTCTCAGTGTGGCGCCCTCTAAGACCGCCTGTGCTGCATGCCCATGAAGCTGGCCCTGGATGAGCCCCTGCTGGGTTCCTGGTTCAGTAGGTCTTTAGTGGGAACTGAATCTGTTCGTTCTAAAAAGCTCACAGGTGATGCTGACCCTGCTACTCATAGGACCATATGCTGAGAGCTACTGCCTCAACTCAAAGGTCCTATGAGTGACCTTATTTCGCCTGTGTTGGCAGGTGGTGACTTATTTTGGAGATGAGTGAGGAGAGGTTTTCAGCGCCACTTCAATCACACCAGATAGGTGACCACCTTCTATAGATACACAGAGGCCAACCCTGTGGTTTCTAGCCAACTGAGAAGATATTTTCTCTTCAATTTCTTTGATCTCAGTGGTAATGCTGACTTCAAAATCTGGAGTAATCCCAAGACAACCCTATTTGGGTTAACTAGTCCCAGAGGAAATAGTCCTGCTTAAAATTTCCTGTTTTTAACGGTTCCAACACAGCCAAACTGGTTTCCACCCATGCCCAGTGCATTTGCTTCCAGGAGGTGGCGAAATTGGCTACAGCAGCTTCGGGTCAGCTGGCCTCTGGGAGGGAGAAGGGCAATCTAGGGCCACGAAGGGAAACAGAATGTCTTGGGACTAAGGTCACAATGGCTGGAGGAGCAGGAAGCCACCAGGTTGGCCCCAGGAACCCTGCAACGGCAGGGCTGGGGCAGGGTCTCTTCCCTCTGTGGGACTATTTGCCCTCAGCACCTGCTTATTCTCCTGGGAGCTTCTGAAGGAACCTGGCCAGGTCACTCCCAGCTTGCAGCTGAGAATGAAAACTGTGGAGCCAGGAGGTAGACCCTCACCCTGGAGGCATCTCAAAGCATTGCTTTGGGAGATTAGTCACCCTGGAGGCTCATGTCACAAATTGGCTGAAGACCCCTCTGCCCCTTCCCCTATGAACATTGTGTCTTCCCTGATGTACCATTAATATCCTGCTCAGTGTTAGGGACATGGAAAAATGCACTCATTCCCTACACCGTTATGAAGTTTCTACTGTGTTCATGTCTGCTTTATGCTAGTCACAAGGTAATCTGTCCACAAGTGTCACTTACTGTGTGCTCAGTCCTGTCCTAAGGAGAATCAGGGATACTGAAAGGTGTAAGAGCAATCCCCTCAGAATCGACAGACTGGTGGGGAAGACAGAGATGAACTGCTGTAAGGTGATGCAACAACCCAGCATCAACTCTTGGTCAGAACAAAGTGAGGAGCCCAGAGTAGGTGCTCAATAAGCCACCAACTGGGTCTGTAAATCATCCTGGGCTCTAGATCTCAGTTACTTGCTTCTGAGGACCCTGCAGGGTTTGACCCCAAAGACGAGAGATGGGTCATTAAAACCAGAGGTGCTCTGCTGAGACGGCGCATGCCCATCCTGGGGAGCATAACAAGATTCTTTAATGCTAAAAATAGCCCCAGTAAACAGGCTTTGATGACTCCCCACAGCCAGGATATGCGCGGGCTGAGGTTTTGGAGCACTTTTTCCGGAGCATCGCTCATTTCCTTCAAGCAGCACCGCCCATGTGGGGTGGGACTTCCTGGGCAGCAGGGGCTGTGCATTGGGAGAGAGCAGGCAGAGTGGCAGAGCAGAGCCTCCTGAGTGGTCTCAGAGACCAGGCTGCCCCACAGTGCTGCTGGTCAGAATACTGGCTGCAATTTTATTCGACCAAGGTCACTTTACCTCTTGTTTCCTACTCCGAGAAGTTCCAGGACTGCTCTGACTGTTCTCAAAGCCATTCTGATGGGGTCTTCCTGGTTCAGACGTGCTTGGCAGTCACCACTTTGTGACCACCACAGGGGCCTTCCTTCTAAGGCTCTGCCTAAACCGATTCCTCCCCTCCACCTGACCCACAGCCTGACCCCCAATCCCCGCCCTCCCGGATGTGCAGACTGCAAGAGCAGTGCCAGTCAAACTATAGGGAAATCATTCTGGGATTGCTTACTGGAGCCTTAGCCATACCTTTAAATGCCACCATTAGCAGGCCTGGGCTTCTCTGATGCCTTTGACAGAAGGCACTGTGTCCTTCCTGATCTTCCTGGGCTCCCTGGAAGTCCTGAAAGTCCACTAGGAGAGATTCATGCCTTTGTTCTTTGCATATGTCTTACTATCCTATCTTGCCTCTCTGCATTACCCTCCATAAGATGTAGTACAGGACTGGGTTCAGCAAACATCTATTGACTGAGCAGACTTTTTAGTTTAAGTTAAAGGAATGATCTGAACAAAGTCAGTATCTCTAGAAGAGATTGTATATTAGCTGTTCTCACCCATTAACATCCTCACATGAATCAGCTTATTGAGCTCTTTCCAAACAGGACAGAAAAAGGCCTTGATTTGGAGTAGGTGGGACAAAGGGGTGGAGGTAGGGGTGAAAGCCTGGGAACAGAAGTCTGAAAGTGGGGTATGAGAGGGTACCAGAACATGTATCTGCCTGCACAGTTCTTTCTTTGTCCCACTTTTCCTGCATGGGAAGGTCATATCAAGCCTTAAAAACTTTAAAATCACATTTTAGTATCTTTCCCTTAGTAGTCTACAGATCAGGAAAACAACCTCTTGTTATAACTGATGTCTTTGCTAAGCAAATGATGAATCCATAATGCAACTGACACTTCTCTTTAGAAACCTTGCTTCATGCTGATCTCCAGCTCCATGGAAAATGAATTTGACTTCATCATGCATGAGCTTGGGCAAGCCCAAAATTTAATTTTACAATGAAAAGTAAATTTTGTATATTCACTGCGGTTTAATGCCCTCAGAATGCAGAGTTGACCCTGATTCGCTCATGGTTTGTGGGGCTCATCTTGAAAGAGGATTTAAGACAATCAAGTGGCATTTCCACCAATGTTCCTGTAAGAGTGTGTTCTGTCCTCAGCCCAGCGTGGAAGCTAATATCATAAAGCTATTGTTTCAGTTTGCTTCCTGTGATATGAATCTCAATCGGCAGCCCAGACCCACAGCCTGAATTTCTCAACGTTGAGGTTTCCTCTCCAACATTCCCACACAGAACAGCCTACTGTGAAAATCAAAGGGAAACATGTTACTAAGTAAAGAGAAACTTTTCTAAAGAAAAACCTGGTATTTTTTAGCCTTTTGAACTTTGAGGTATGCAACCAGCTATTTCCTATTATAAAGTGAGCCAAAATTGGTACTCACCTTTGTTAGAAATGCTTAAATAATGAATGTGTGGGTTGTTTTGCCTTGGAAAAGCTTGACAACTCTGCATTTTGATAGAAATTGCTAGAAGGTAGGTTACAGGATAGTAAGAATTTACATTGGGTTTTCTTTTACATCATTTCTCCAGAAGCCTATATTTAATATAAATCAATATATTTGTTTATAATAATTTTTATTTCTAAGCTGTAACTTATTGAGACCTTAATATGTGGCAGGCTAGAGGATAAGGCCTTTTATATCTATTATCTCAATCCTCAAATAACATTGCAGGGTAAGCACCATTATTCCCTTTGTGCAGATGAGGAAACTAAAGCTCAAAGAGAAATTTTTACAACATTGCAGAGAAAGAAAGCAGCCAAACTAAGATTCCAGTGCAGGTCTATCTGCCCACAAATCCTGTACTCTTCTTCATGATGCTACATGTGTTGGAAAAGCAAAATACGATTTAGAAAGAAAAAGATCTTGTCTCACAATTTCTGAAAGTAATTCAACAATCAGTCTAGAGAATGCGTAGCAGAAGTCTAAGAGAGAAGTCAGAGAAAAGTGGGTGCTGAGAAACCATCTCCTCCTCCCTGGTCTGTGCTCGTTCGGTGAGAACTTCTCCTTCAAGGACACCAGGACCACATGGCCAAAAGTAGAAACTTTTTATCCCTTTCCTTCATTTCTTTCCTTGGAACAGAGAGGACCAGAGCTGACAGGCTAAGGGCTCTAGCTGGTATAGGGCCAAGCCCAGCCAGAGGGCAGGCAGGTTTGTGTCCACAACTTTCAACAGGCTCCTGAGATGGGACAGATAAGGGATGTCCCAGTGTGGCCACTCTGGTCCTATCTCTGTGGGTGTGTTTAGCACACGAGGGCTCACACCAGCACACACACGGGGAGATGTGCTCAGAGAGTCCAGCCTAACTCCTGGCCTTCTCCAGGCCAACCTTTGAACCACTGAGACAGACAGCCAGGCCCAGGAGGGCAAGCATGGAAAACGAAGCCCTGCACGAGGGGGAAGGACAGGAATAATTCTCTGAATGTGTGAGGACCTCCTCCCCATTACACTGGCCCCCAGCTGCCTCTGTTGACCTTCATTCCCCTACCTTCTCCCTTCCCCCACATCCCACACCCCAGCCCTTGTCAACATCTTTGTCAACATCTTAGCCTGACCAGGTTTACAAAATGCTCTTGCCGTCCCATGTCTGTTTTCCCATGGACCAAAATTCAAAAGGACTTGAATTCCAGGTGCAGGTTCACCATGTGCTAAATGTGTGACTTTGAGCAATATTAACCTGTCTGTCCTTCACTTATCTGTGTAACAAGGAGAAACACTCAACGAGTCCAAATTTAGTCAGAGGCGTTCTATAATTAATATACAGGTTGACTGTCCCTAATCTGAAAATCTGAAATCTGAAATGCTCCAAAATCCAACACAACATTCAAAGGAAATGCTCATTGGAGCATTTCAAATTTCAGATTTTCAGGTTAGGGATGCTCAACTGATAAATACAATGCAAATATTCCAAAATCTGAAAAAATTAAAAAATCAAAAATACTTCTGGTCCCAAGTATTTCGGATAAGGGATACTCAACCTGTATTACCCCTTCTGGGGCTTTGTGTTGGTGGAGGAATTGGAGTGGTGATGAAGGAAGCAATGATTAATCCAAAGGAATTAATGTCTAAGAGCAGAATCTCAAGTACCACAGCAGGAAAGCAGGGAAGAGGGGTCTCATTGTGGGGAAGGGGCCTTCATCCAGTCATGAAATCCTCCACTGTCTACTCTTTATATGTAAAGATGACTGCAACATTAGCTGACTTTGCCCTCAGTTATCCAGGAAGACAAGCCTTTTTAAAGGGAGGGGTGCACAAATGCCCTGTGATGGAGTCTCCCGGCCTTTCTTATATCCAGCAATCCAACCCTTGCCAGGGCTCAGCCCGCTGTTCTCTCTCGGCAGCATCTAGGACCATGTATCTGCCATTGTCTTGCATTGTTCTTTGAAAGTATTTATAGACCCTATCTTCCCGCTTGGCTCTCCTGCTCTTGTCTGCACATTTCGCCTCTTTAGGCCTAGCCTTCCAACCCCAGGCCCACTGAACTGTCGTCCTATTTTCTGAAAGTCTGCCCCCTATATCCTTCCTGTACTCCAGGGACTAGAATAGTACATTCTGGTCTGGCCTCCCAGCCTCACACTGGATTCCCTCTTTCCCAGAATAGCCACTTCATAACAGGATGGCGGAATCCACCGTCTCCAAGGCACCAGGCTTACTCCGGAAAACTGAAAAACCACCACCAAAGAACCCTCCCTCCCCGAGTGCCTCCCTCACGCTCACCCGTCAGACACTGTCCCCACCTGTGGCACCAGACCAGGCGGGGAGGAGCACAACACGCTGCCCAGCATCCTGACAGAACTGACACCCCGGACGAGAATGTCACATAGGATCTGAAACCAGAAGACTTCTCAGGACACCTGTTTCTGGTCAGGACGCATAGGAAATGGTTTCCTGAAGAATGTAACTGAGAAAAAGCAAATGCTGTGTGAACTGTGGAGTTGCAGAGGTACCAGGGACGGGAGAACCAGTTGTTTTCTGGGGAGGGGTGATGCTCTCGGCTGTCAGCTGTCAAGGACTCCCCAGTGTGAGTGAGCTCAGCCAGGCCAGGTGATTTACAGACATCATTTCAGTCCATTCTCACCGACAGCCTGGGCAAGAAGTATGTTTAACACCATTTTATAGATGAGGAAACCAATGTTCAGAGAGACTAAATGATTTGCTTGGCCTAACTGGCTTCTCAGAGGGAAAAGATCATCTGGGCACGCCTACTTGCTGTTCTAGGGAAGGCACTGGAAGTTAAGGATGAGAAGGCGTCCTACAGACTCAATCTAGTGTGGAGGATGGGTCTTATGGACCAGATGGCAACAAACTGAGAAGTCAGCAAAAGCTGTCCTTGGTTCTCCCAGCCCGTGTTCTCCCCAGCCTCTGGGTGCCCGTGTTCTTCCCTGGTCCTGTCCCTGCCCTCCTCTCACGGCCGGATTCACAGTGAAGGTCACTGCTGGAAGAGAGATGTTTAACACGAAGGAATAAAGCACTCATGATGGTGATTCTGTGGGTGAAAGTTCTGTAGTGGGAAGACTTTCCAGCTCTGGCAGCAGAAGGGTCCCCTGCATATAGGAACATGCTGGTAAGGCTGGCATCTGCCCAGCCTAGGGGAGCCCGCTGGCCTTACCTGAGGAGAGGAGCTTGTGTGTTCGCAGGAAGCTGATCGCCAGTCGCATGATGGAGGCCTTGTCCAGATGGGAGCTCACGCTGTGGGGCAGAGGCAGCTCATGGGCCAGCTCGTAGAACACCTCCGTCTCCTTGCTCCGCCGGCACCGTGCGGCATCCCGGGACTTCTCCTTCCTCCTCTCCGAGCTACTCCTAAGTGGAGAAGAAGGGGTTAGTCCTAGTAAGGTTACTGTCAGCCTATCATACCTCTGGCCAGGATATCCCCACAGCCCCAACCCACAGCGCAGCCACACTCCCCCACTGGACTGATCTGGGCTCACACCAGTCATCTGAGCCACACACAAGCTGCTTTGTATTGTTAGCTCTGCTTTTGTGTGTGTTGGTGTCTTTGCAACCAACGTCCTCCTCTTGCATGCCCTGTGAAGGCCAGAACAGGGCTTCACATGGGTGGAGTCTGGGCAAAGACTTGCTGATTAAATTAACTGTCAATGCCTGGGACCTGGCCCTGGATTATCTGGGGATAGGGGTGAATGTCCAGGGATGGAAAGAGAAGGATAAGGAAGCTATGATCAGTGGCTCAGATGGCTTTGTCAAGGGCTCTGGAGAACAAGATAAAAAACTGCTTTAAGGTCCTTTTTCTGCATAAGACACATTCAGAAAAAATTAAGAGTAGTACTGAACCCTAGATCCCGCTTCATATCAGAGAGTGATTTCCACAGTAAAAACTGAAAATACCATTACAGCCCAAAAACAGTTAGCCAGACACCCAACAGTCTAGAGTACCAACGTGCATTCTGTCAAGGATTAAAAAGGAGTGGGCACAAACATTTTCTAAGCACTGCCAGCATAGGTTGCCAGGCTGTCTCAGCCGCATTCTCCTCTTTGCTGCAGGATGGAAGGAAAGATGACACGCACTGAAGCTTGCCTCTTTTCAGGAAGTCCTAAAGAAATCCTGGACTTTCTTATAAAGTCCATGGCAAGTTCTAACACAGGCAAATTTAAAAGCCAGAATGTTTAGACTAGAGTTCTAACTTCTCTGCTCGTTAGCTCTGTAAATAAATAATTTAAATTGCTTAGCCTCAGTCTCCTCATCTATAAAATGACAACAATAGTGCTTACCCTACAGAGTTAATTGTGAGGACTAAATGTGATAATTTATATAAAATCTTTAGCACTAAGCCTGTTCCACCAACTGTAAGCAATCGATGTTAGCTAATACTAATTAAAAAGATGGCCATGAAAAGGCAATCATGAGAGTTAAAAAGCTACAAAACAGTACAGGACAATTCTATTTTCATAGAAATGTATTATACATAATACTTCTATAACTTATATAGGAGAAAGGCTAGATGTATAATAACTACTATTATAGGTATCACAGAAATAGTTCTTACAAGTACTTTTTTTTTTTCATTATTATACTTTAAGTTCTAGGGTACATGTGCACAATGTGCAGGTTTGTTACATATGTATACATGTGCCATGTTGGTGTGCTGCACCCATTAACTCATCATTTACATTAGGTATATCTCCTAATGCTATCCCTCCGCCCCTCCTCCCCACAATAGGACCCGGTGTGTGATGTTCATCTTGGCTTATTTAAACTCACACAACTGCCTTGGAAGTAGGCATTATTATTATTATACCTAATTTACATATGAGGAAACTGCCCCATAGAGGCCAAGTAATTCATCTGTGGCCTCCAGCAGGTAAATGGGGAAGTTGGGCTTTGCACTGGGCAGGTGGGCCCCAGAATCATGGCACTTAACCACCAATGACTGTCCTGTCTCCTTCTACTCACAAATGTTAGCAGTTGCAGGGTAGTGAGGTTACAGGAAGTTTTTTTGGTTTTTGTTTTGCTTTATAGTGCTTATCTGTGTCTTCTTGTGTTTCTATAAATAACCTATATTGCATATTTAATAAAGAAACAAATCTGTTTTTTTTTTTTTAAAAGGCATCTAAGCCGGGCATGGTAGTATTTGAACCTGTAGTCCCAGGTACTTGGGAGGGTGAGATGGGAGGATCACCTGGGCCCAGGAGTTCAAGACCAGCCTGGGCAATATAGTGAGACCTCGTCTCTATAAAAATATAAATAAGATAAAATTAAAAAGTGTCCAGCGCAGTTCATAGGTTTCAAGGCCTCAATTCAGTTAGCTCCAGCTGGCTTGCTCTGTCCTGCCATCTGAGATTCCAGAGACTGCTCCTCCTTTTGTTTGGCTTTGCAGCCTGTTATTTGGACAGAAAAATCTGTATTTTGGGATTCATGGAATGTGAACATGCCTCTCAAATCCCTCAAGATTTGGGGCAGAAGCACTGTTTTGATTTTACAACATGCTTCATTTAGAAAGACAGACTGTCCAGCTCTGTGGATGGATTAAGCATCATATACTTGGATTAAAGGACGAATTGTCCAACAGCTGTTGATGGGCAAGAAGAACCTTCAGAAAAATTGTGAAATGAGTGAAACTATTTTTCTTGTCCTCGTTCCCTTTTCTGCTTCCTTTACCTAATCCCTGTTTCCCTCTCTCCCTGACTTCCAACCCTCAGGACACCTACTCCTGCACCCTTCTTTCCCCACCTTCTCAGGAATTGCCCTGATTAGACCTTTAGTGGCAGTTTTTATACTAGTCCCTCCCATTTGCATTTTAATCCTGACCTGATTGTGGAGAAAAAGTTAAAGAATTGCACGTATTCTCGCACAGGAAAGGAAGATGGGAAGAGGGCAGGATGCTGAAACCACACACATCATGCCTTTGGGTCATGAGAGTCAGGTGAAAGATGCTGGATTTCATTCTCTAGCACTAACTCTTGGGCTCTCCAACAAAAGCATCATCAACACATAACCTCATCATCAGGGGCCAAGATAAGCCATCCTGAAGCAAAAGCACTCCCAGCACAGGCTATGGCATTAACGCCAATATCTGCATGCACAAGGCTTCCCTCTGCCATTGGCCCCTTCCTTGGAGTAGAAGAGGCAGAGAGGAAAAGCCAGGTAGGGAAAAGGCAATCTGGAGTCAATGCTCTGACAATGGTATCTGATATGAGAGTCTTGCTATAATTTTTGTGCCTAGTGCTATACCAAGAACCTTTCATATATTAGCTCATTATACTCTTCCTAACAACAAAATAAAGTAGGTATTGTTTACACAATTTAGAGATGTGGAAACTGAGGCTCAGACATAGTATGTCATTTGCCCAATGTCACAAAGCCAACGCCTACATAAGCCATTGAAGGCTTTGTAGTCAGTGAGCAGACACTTAGAAGTCCTGAAATACACAGGGGATTCCTATCTAATTCCATCCTTGCAACCAAGTGCGGTGGGCAACACAGGTGTTGTCACTGTTCCCCTTTCACAGATCTGAAAACAGACACTTGAGCAGGTAAGTTACTTGCCTAGAGCAATCCAGCTAATCAGTGGCAGAGCTAGGGCTAGAACCCTGCTCTTCCTAGGCGGATACTCTTCTCACTGCTTAATGGTAGGAGATAGTGGCTTTAGCAAGAAATAAAGAAACAGCAACATCTTAACTTCCAGAAAAAGAAAGCTTGAGAATCTAAGGCAGCCTCTTGGTTCAAAAGTCAGGGAGGTGGGATGTCAGCTGAAACTAAAAGGACTAATAATAATACCTTTGCAGAAAGCACTTTTTCTTAACATGTGTTATCTCATTTGATTCTCACAACCCTGAGAGATAGAAACTATCATCCCCATTTAATAAATGAGGATGTGGAGATTTAGAGATATTAAATAATTTGCTAAAAACATTGTCTCAAACCTAGTTCTTCTGGGTCCAAGATCAAAAGTTTTTCCATTGGCAGCAAGGAAACTATCATTTACTGTACAACTTTGATGTTCCCAGTGCTGTGCTGATACTTTCCCACAACCTGGATGTTCACACATACTTTGGGAAGCAGAGGCTAAGACTTTTTTAAATACAGTGACAAAAATTTCATGAGGGGAGCCTCCTGTCTTTAAGCGAGCACCCATTCACCTTAGAAGAACACCTGGAATGTTAAGAGTAGGACTAAGAACTAGCATCAGAGTTCAGATGGGGTCGGAGGGGGAAGAAGGGACTCAGTGCTGTGGGCCTTAGCAGACACAGGTACCAGTCACAGTAGCGCTCGGAATGTGGTAGAATCTTATCAGATGTGGCTCGGCAGTGCTCCATAAAAGCAGCAGGTCCAACCCTGCCGCAGTATCTATCTATGCCGCAGGTGAAGAACAAGCTGTTTCTGTTTGTTTTGGGTTTGGTTTTTTTCCCGTGGACATTTTAATATGTACAAATTTATAGTTAGTCTCCCCGAGGTGGAAGCTCACATTCTGAAACATTTGATCCCAGCTAAAGGTAACAACCACTTAAGCCAGGCAGCCAGTCAAAAGATAAAACAATACTGAACGTCCTAAAATTGTCAGCAGAGATATGCTACAATTCATCCAGGATAAACCTCTTTGCCCAGAGCTTCGTTATCTTAAAAACATCTTCTTTTAGGTCACTGCTCCAAGCATGGCTTAGGGATCCCTACTTAAGTCATGAATCTAAGGATGATCTGTTCTTGGTCAAGATGACCTTGGTTCCTGACTTCCATACGAACATAGCCTGGAGTGAGGCCCCAAGATGTCTGTCACCAGTAACACCGAGGGGTTGGCTGCCTAATGAGCTAGACTTGTAGAGTGATTAGAACTCACATGCCTAATGCCTGTGGCCATTCAGGTATCAGAACAATATGCCTATTACCCTATAAGGTTAAATGGCTTAGAAACAGAATGGGTTTCAGCAGGTAGAGATGACTGAAGCTAATTAAGCCAGCTGGGATCAGTCTATTGGTTGATGGTGAAATTCTAAGCTGGTGCCAATTTGCAAGAAGCTGAGAATGGAGGAAATAAAGGTCAAATGCAATTGGGAGAGGTCTAGTGACACTTCCATGAGGCTTGTGGCTGCTGTACAGGGGCCGTCTGATGGGAGAAACACACCCAGCTCCAGGTTCCAGAGATGAGGAAGAGTCACTGGTCCCCATACTTATTGGGGCAGAACCAAAGTCAGTGGTTCTCAGTTTTGCTGCTCACTGGAGTCACCAGAGGAACCTTAAAAAACAGATGCCTGGGCTCTACCCCCGAGATTCAGATTTAATGTCTCAGGTGCAGGCTGGGCAATGGGAGTTTTAAAAGCTCCCCATGTGTAGCCAGGGCTGAGGACTA